ATATTGTATCTTCCTTAGAGTTTATTTTGCACAGTATTGCTTTGGGTCACCATGAATACAAGGTGTATCACAGAAAAGGAACTGGGAAGTTTTTGACATTTTCCCAGCAGTAATCTAACAAACTGACATCAGATAAGTCATAATTAGGACAAACATATAGGAAACAAAAACACCTTTTAAGGTTGTAAAATTTAAAACGTGTGTGTGTATATCTACTTTTACCCTTGAAAATAAGATTAAGTGAAGTTAGTGAGCTTCCCTTAATATTCTAAGAAATTGTAGAAGTGGGACTTCAGTGGTCTCCTAACTTCTAGTCTAGTTTTTCATTTTATCATTCTTTCTGGTAGGAAAGTCCTCAATCTATCTGAATTGTACACATTATAAAAATGAGTCCAATGTTATACAGAGTGTATATAGCATATGTAGCATAAACTTGATCTTGGGCTAATTCTTTATGCTGAAACTAATTTAAATATTTAATTTTTGGTAAGTTTGCCTGCCATAGAATGTAGAAGGTTTAAAATGAATATTTTGACCAAGTTAGGTTGCAGTTAATTTTATACAGGCTCCAGGAGGATGTCAAATTTAGTTTGATTTGACAGTATGAAACTTTAAAAAAAGTAAATATTTATGTTGATGCATACAGAAAATTGTTAGTAGATGCTTAAATTTTTCTTTATTGAGCTAGGGACATTAAAAATTACAGCCATGGCAATATGTTAGCATTCCTAAGGTATTTGTTATAAAAGTTCATTAGAGGAGTCTTATAAACTTTACTATCAACTTCCTTATGAAGATAAGTCAAAGAGCATGCTGAAGGTTATGTAATGAATGGGTGAGGGAAGCCATTTTCTGGCAAAGGGATTTTAGGTCCGATTTGGTCTTAGAACTTTTTAAGAACACACTGGGTGTGTGCAGCCTGAAATCCCAGAGATTAGGGAGGCTGAGACAGAAGGGAGTGCAAGTTTGAGACCAACCTGGAATACTCAATGAGACCCTGTCTCAAAATAAAATAAAAAGAGCTGGGGATGTAGCTTATTGGTAGAGCGCCTCTGAGTTCAGTCAGTAATCACAAAAATTTTTTTTTCACAATACCTTTATTTATTTATTTTTATGTGGTGCTGAGGATCAAACCCAGGGTCTCACACATACTAGGCAAGTGCTCTACCACTGAGCTACAGCCCCAGCTCAATCCTCAGTAATTAAACAATCTTTCATCTTGCAAGTAAAGGCAAGTATTTAAATAGCCTTGAATGAATAAGGAGAAATACTGTGTTAATACTGGATCACATCTGTGCATATTGTGTGTAAAAAGTAAATTACTGTTTGTAATTTCTTTTAGAAATTAACTGTCATATAACTCTTTTTTCCTTATGTGGTTAGCTTTAATTGTTTAAAATAATTTTAAGTGTCAACTTTGCCTCTTAGTATTTTGTTCTCAAACAGCTGAAACTTTCATAGCACTGTTAGCGTTTTTTATTTATTTATTTAAAGAATTTTTTTAATATTTATTTTTCAATTCTCGGCGGACACAACATCTTTGTTGGTATGTGGTGCTGAGGATTGAACCCGGGCCGCACGCATGCCGGGCGAGCGCGCTACCGCTTGAGCCACATCCCCAGCCCCCCCCTTTTTTTTTTTTTTTAAACTTTATATGTCATCCAGCTTTTTATTTCTTTTTTTTTTTTTTTTAAGAAAGAGAGAATTTTAATATTTATTTTTTAGTTTTCGGCAGACACAACATCTTTGTTTGTATGTGGTGCTGAGGATCAAAGGCACCAAGGCACCACGCTACCGCTTGAGCCACATCCCCAGCCCCTGTTAGCGTTTTTTAATTAGTACTTTATAGTTATACCTGTTACTGTAGTTCATTTTGACATAGTTCATTTTGACGTAATCATTTAGGCATGGAATATAATTTTCTCTATTTATTTAAGTTCCCAGTTCTTCCCTTTTTCTTCTCCCTCCATCCCTTCCTCCCCCCGTTCCTCTTCCTCTATTCCACTGATCTTCCTTCTATTCACTTTTGGTATTTTTTTTTTAAATTAGTGCCTCCCCTACAGGAACACATTTTACTTTCATCTCAAGAATATTTAAATTGGGGAAAGAAATTGATCTTTTTTTAAAAAATTTTTTTTAGTTATACATGGACACAATATCTTCATTTGTTTATTTATTTTTATGTGGTGCTGAGGATCGAACTCAGGGTTTCACACGTGAGAGGCAAGTGCTCTACAGCTGAGCCACAACCCCAGCCCCAAGAAATTGATCTTTTAATGTTAGAATTTGACAGGCTCAAACAAAACAAAACAAAACAAACAAACACACACTCAAACAAAAACATCATACAAGAGCCCATCCAGTAAAGCTTTAGGTGACCAGTAACTTTGTTGATTAGGTCTGCTGGTCATGGCTCAAGTCCTACAACAGTTGGGGAGCCTGGTTCCATCCGAGTACATCTAGCATCTTGAATCAAATTTACAGTCGGTCCTAGCATTTTTTGCATGGGTCAGTAATTCAGTCAGGGTTTCTTCATCAGGGGCTTTGACACCATTTTGGTCTGGCTAATTTATTCCTGTTTGAGCACTCAGGGTTTCTCCTTTGAATTTGCTTGTAGGCGGAATCAGCAGCATGAGAGCACTGGGCAGCAACTTTTCTTTTTCCCATAAGTTATTTCAGACCATAAGAATCATTTTGTACTTCCCATTCTCTCCCAAGATGCTTGCTTTAGTTCTGTTTTTTGGTCTGTCTCACTTATTGAGCTTTTGGAGAGCATTCCAAAGTGTACCCAGAGGCCTCAGCCAAGACACATGCCACAAGTAATGCCACCAGCCTGACTAGAGTATACTAGGATGGGCCAAGTATTCTAAAACCAAGGATTTGGAGAGCATCTAAAGTACCTCTCCTCCTCTCATGGCTTCCCATTCTTCTAGGAAGCAGACACACTTCTTAGTACATTATAGATATATGTAAGGATGAAGTTCACTGTGGCATATTTATATATGCATATCTTGGTCAGTTTTATTTCACTGTTACCCACTTTTCTGTCTTTCCTCCCTTCCATTCAGTCCCCTTCCTCTGTTCTACAGATCTCCCTTCTGTTTCAGGGGATTCCCACTCCCTCTTTTCCCCCTTATTTTGGTCTAGTATCCACATATGAGAGAAAATGTTAGCATTCTTGACAGAAAAAGATGTATTTTAGTTATATTTCTTATCATTTATTACGAATTTATACTTACTAACGACTAAATTTTTTAAATGCCGTGTTTCTATTGTTTGTCTCCTGATACCACAGAAAGTATCTATTTCTCAACCTTTTACAAGCTTATTTTTTTGTAGTAAAAGGCTTTCAGAAGTTCACTTTGTAACTTTTTAGTTCTTTGTGAGATAAAAGAAATCCCAGAAGTAATAGGAGTCTGCGGTTTTTCAATGCTTCATGCTTTTGCTTGATTTGGACCCTTTGCTTTCTCTTCCTTATTTGATAAAATTTGAAGATATATTCACTAGATATCCCCTTATATAGGATTAACAGTCATTACAACTTTGCCCCTTGTCACCCTCATTTTGTTTAAAATGTCCATTTGTTATAGATTTGAAGCCTCCTTCTTTTCATTATCTCACTAAAGGTAATTACTGTGGTGATAGGTCTAGATCCATATAATATGTAAACAGGAGGTAGTAATTACCTGTGACTTTGCCTCTTTAAGACTTTTTAGGATTTTCTTGTATCTTAGAAACAAAGTGACAGCTTTTTACCACCACACTCTTACTCTAGGTACAAGACATTATGATTTTATCCCTAGCTTTTTTCAGAAGTGGCAGAACTGGGATTTGAACTAAGGCCCTGGAATTTGTGCCATTATGCTGTATGATTTTATAAATTTGCAGATATTATTTATCATCCTCTCTTCAGCTAACTCATGTACCCCCATACCTGTCTATATGTATGTTGTTTGTTTAGGGACTAGGGATTAAATCCAGGGAGGAACACTTGACCATTGAGCTATATTCCCAGCCTCTTAATTTTTTATTTTGACATAGGGTCTTGCTAAGTTGCTTAGGTAAGCCTTGTTAAGTTGCTGAGGCTGGCCTCAAACTTGTGATCCTTCTGCCTCAGCCTCCTGAGTCACTGGGATTATAGGAATATTCTACTGGGCTAGGCTACCTCATAACTTTAGTCCCAACTTTGATGTGAATTTTAAATCTCTGTTCTTTTTTCTCTCCTTGCTGTACTTTCCCTGCCATAGTGAGCTTGTCATCTTCTTCTATAATATTTCCTCTACTGCTTTTTCACATTTCTTTTTAATGACATCTCTGTTTTCTAAGATGCAAAACCTGTGTCCTTAAGGGCTGGGGTTGTGGCTCAGTGGTAGAGTGCTCGCCTAGCATGCACAGGGCACTGGGTTCAATCCTCAAGCACCACATAATTGTAAAATAAAGATATTGTGTCCACCTAAAACTTAAGAATAAATATTTGAAAAAAATATTTCACTCTTAATATTTCAATTAATACACCATGTATGTTTTGTTTCTTTATCTTTTCTATCAACTTCTTTCTAATCTTCTTGCCAGGGTTGTAGTTCAGGTCTGCACTTTTAGTCTGTAATTCTCCAAAAGATTCCTTCTATTTCAGTCTTCACACTGCTGCCAGTTTAATCTTCCTAAAGCATAGCTCCAGTCCCCTTACTTTTTGACCAAAGACTTTCATGGTTGCACTATATATTCAAAGGTTTCCACAATAGGGCTTCAGCTTGTTCTGTAGCTGTATCTCCCATTGTTTTCTTAAGTGCAACAGGCTATGTTTTTTCACTTCCCAAAACATACTCTTCCTTTTCTTATTGTGTTCTTGTTCCCTCTTCTAGATGTTTCTTCCTTGAGAGCAGAGATCAGGCATCTCCTGCTGCCCTACATAGGTCTTTGTTCATAGGTGCTTAATGCATTTATTGACTCAAACTTATGAGGAAACTCATTTCAGGTTAACTATTATATTTTTGTTATAGGCTTGATCGTCTTTTTATCTTACTGGATACTGGCACTACTCCAGTTACAAGAAAAGCTGCTGCACAGCAACTTGGAGAAGTGGTGAAGCTTCATCCTCATGAACTAAATAATCTGTTATCTAAAGTAAGGACTCTTTTTATTTTTCTTAGTATAATAACAATTGTAGAGACTTGTCCATGGATAGGAAAACAAAAGTAAAGATAAACATAATTTTATGTTAAGTAACAATTTGTGATCTCCAGATTCCATTAAATATCTTACAGTTCTCCAAATAGATTTAAAAATTTTGCTATTTCTTTTCTTTGGTGACAAGACAATTTTTTTTTTTCTTTTTAAACTCTAGTTTAATTCTTTAAGGGACTTGACAATATAGAACTTTTTGCTTGTGTCACAAATTTGAATCTGACCCAATTTGGTAATGAACTGAGTTGTTAGTCTGGTTTCTTAGTGGTCTGACTTGTTCTTAATGGCTAATAATTATATCATAGTTGATAGTTTTCAAATGAAGTACTCATGGGCAATGATTGAAATACATGAGAAGCTAATTGTTATATTACATCCTTACATCCTTAGTTAATAGCTTTTTTTCTTTTCTTTCTTTTTTTTTTTTTTTTTTTTGGTGCTGGGGATTGAACCCAGGGCCTTGTGCATGCTAGGCAAGCACTCTACCAAAACTGAGCTATATCCCCAGCCCAGTTAATAGCAATTTGAAAGTGGAAACATTCTGCTTTGGTGGACCAGTGTTTTCATACCCCTACTCCATGTTCTTTCCCTAAATAGTAGTTGTATTTTTACTGAACTCTGGGCTTGTTTAGGTGTACCTTTATGGTTGTAATTGGCGAATTCTATGTGTTTAATTCCCTGGCATGCAAAGTAAAGCAGAGTGCTTTGGTGGGGAGGGGAGTGTTGGGACAGAGATAGAGAATAGGGTGGTGGAACAATATGATTGCTCAGATATTGGAAGCCTGAAGATACCTCTTTCTTCTAGTTTAACCTCTTCCTTTCATTCTCATTTGTCACTCCCTGATACATAGCAGTAGGAGTTGTAAGTCCTTTTTCAACATACACAAATCTGCACTATATGGTTGCTCCCCAAGGGCTTTTAAAGACTCCCTTTCCAACCTACTCCCCTGCTAGATTAACTGTCTACTCAAGATGGAGAGACAGTGATTTGCTACCTACAGCCTCCTCATTCTCAGAAGAGAGAAGGCTGCATATTAGGCATCTGTGAGGTGAGGAAATAGAAGCATGTGTATTTCTCTTCCTTATTCCAAGGGAAGACATGGAGGTCTGATAGATCTAGACAGGGAACAACACAACAGGGCTGACTGTGCAGAACTGGTAAAGGTTTCTAGCTTTCCAAATGAATTCTGTTCTTAATTCAGAACTCAGCAAACTGGCTGCCATCAAATCATTCCAAAAGGAGAAGTTGTCTTTAGCAACTTCTTGCCTTCTGATCCTCTTCTTTTCCCTCAGTATTTTCCTGTTATCTTGGTTTTGTTTTTTTAAGAGTTTTATTGAAATGTAATTTACATATCTTAGATGTACAGTTCAGTGATTTAGTATATTACTATTGTATGCAACAGTTGTCATCACAGTCTAATTTTAAAACATTTTTATCACCCAAAAAGAAACCTCAATCTATTCAACCTAATCAAACCTCACTCTCTATTATTCCCCTTCCCATACCGAGCTCTAGGAAACCATTAAAATAATGTATGTATATTTGCCTATTCTGAACATTTTTTTTATACAAATCATACATTATTTGTAATCTCTGGGACTTGTTTCTTTCACTTTAAATACTGTGTTCATATTAAAGCACGTACCATTACTTTATTCCATTTAATTGTCGAATAATATCCAATATATATTTACGGTATGCCACATCTTAACCATTTATCAGTTAATGGACAATTGACTTGTTTCCATTTCTTTTTAATTTTTTTTTTTTGAGAGAGAATTTTGATATTTATTTTTTTAGTTTTCGACGGACACAACATCTTTGTATGTGGCGCTGAGGATTGAACCTGGGCCGCATGCATGCCAGGCGAGCGCTCTACCACATCCCCAGCCCTCTTTTTAATTTTTTTTAGTTATACATGGGCACAATATCTTTATTTTGTTTGTTTATTTTTATGTGGTGCCGAGGATCAAACCCAGTGCCTCACATATGCGAGGCAAGTGTTCTATCACTGAGCCACAACCCCCAGCCCTCCATTATGTAAAATTTTACTATTATGTAAAATACTGCTGTGAAAATTCATATACAAAATTTTTGTAGGGAGGTATGTAAATTAGTTCATTTTCTGCTATAATAACAGATTACCACAAACAAAGTAATTTATAAAGATTAAAGGTTTATTTAATTCACATTTCTAAAGGTTGGAAAGTCCCAAGATTGGGCAGCTGCATCTGTGAAGGCCTTCTTGCTGTCTTTTGCAGAGTCCCTGTGTGTTGTAGGGCATCATATGGCAAAAGGGGCACATCCAAAAGAGAGCCACACTGGCTTTTATAGAGGATCCACTCTACATGTAACCCATTAATCCACGAATGGATTAGTCCATTCATGAGGACAGAGACCTCATTACTTAATCTTCTCTTAATTAAAGATGTTACCTGATCTTACCTCTTAGTACCTCACAATGGGAATTAAATTTCAACTTGAGTTTTGGTGAGGACATTGAAGCCATAGTAGTATGTTTTCATTCTTTTGATTATATACCTGGAAGTAGTATTGCCAGGACACAAGGTAACTACGTTTAACTTTGAGGAATTGCCAAAATGTTTTCCAAAGTGGTTCCATTTTATATTCCTAACAGTAGTGTATAAAAGCCCAGATTTCCCTACATCCTTATTAATAGTTATTAACTGACTTTTTGACCAAAGTCATCCTAGTGGGTATGAAGTGGTTTGGATTTACATTTCTTTGATGACTAAAGATATCAGACATCTTTTCATGTTTATTAATTGTTTGGAGAAATGCCATTTAGACCTTTTGCCCCCTCCTCTTTTGTTATTGAAGTATTTCATTTTATTTTATTTTTTGGTGCTGGAAATTGAACCCAGGGCCTCATGCATGTAGGCAAGTGCTGTACTGTTGAACTACATCCCCAACTCAAATTATTTTAATATTCATATAGAAAAAAGAGACTCCATACTCAAAAGACAAATAGAAATATGTTCAACATAACAAATTGACAGAATACCAATTCTTTGTTCTACAAAGTGCTCAATTATGAAGTAAAGAGCAATCCAGTAGTGAACAATGGTTATGAATGGGACTTTATAGAAAAAAAGCCAACCTTATAAATTAACAGTATAATATCAAATAATGCCTAAGTTTTTTCTCCTTTTCCTCCTTTTGTTTTTCCTTCTTCTCTTCCTCCTTTTCTTTCTTTTTTTTTTTTTCTTCAGTACCAGGGATTGAATCTAGAGCCTCTTGCATACTAGGCAAGTGAACCACTGAGCTACATTTCCAGTCCTTTTTGCCCCCCTCCTTTTTGCCCCACCTTTTTGATAATTAAATACAAAATTGTAATAAGTATTATATCTATCAAGAAATAGCGAAATTCAAAACATTCTATGATGATAACTAGTCCTGACAAGCATTTGGGGAAGTTTGATCATTTTTTACCTCAATTTTAAATTATTTGTCCTTTTTCCTTCCTTAATTTCTCTCTTTTTTTTAATATTTATTTTTACTTATGTATCTTTAATTTTAGGTGGATACATTAGTTTGTTTTTATGTGGTGCTGAGGATGGAACCCAGTGCCTCATGCATGCTAGGCGAGCACTCTACCACTGAGCCACCACCCCAGCCCTGCTCTTTTCTTTTTAAAAAAAATTTTTTTTTTAGTTGTAGTTGGGCACAATACTTTTATTTTATTTATTTATTTTTATGTGGTGCTGAGGATCAAACCTAGCGCCTCACACATGCTAGGTGAGTGTTCTAAGGCTGAGCCATAACCCCAGCAGCCCCCCATCCATCCCCTGCCTTTTTTTTTTTTTTTTTTAAGGCATCTTTCTGTGTTGCCCAGACTGGTCTCTACCTCCTGGGTGCGAGTGATCCTCCTGCCTCTCAGTAGGACTGGGGATTGAAGTTCTCTGCCCCTGAGCTACATTTCTAGCCTTATTTATCCTTTTAAAAATGAGTTGTAAGAGTTCTTTATACAATTTGGATTCAACCCTCTTGTATATATGATTTCCACATGTATTTTCCTGTTGTGTTGGTTGTCTTCATTTTTTTTTTTTTGATAGTATCATGTGAAACACAGAAGTTTTTAATGTTGATTGAGATTTTTTTTTTTTTTTTAAAACCATTGATGCTTTTGTTTTCATACTTAAGAAATTGTTGCCTGACCTAAAGTCACACAGATTTACCCCCTATGTTTTCTAAGAGTTGTATAGTTTTAGCTCGTCCTTTTAGGTCTCTGGTTAGTATTTGAGTTAATTTTTGTTTATGGTGTGAGGTAGATGTTCAGCATTATTCTTTATTTTATTTTATTGGTTCTTATTTATACATGACAGTAGTGTCCATTTTGATAAAATTATTCAAGCAGGGCTGGGGATGTGGCTCAAGCGGTAGCGCGCTTGCCTGGCATGCGTGCGGCCCGGGTTTGATCCTCAGCACCACATACAAAGATGTTGTGTCCACCAGAAACTAAAAAATAAATATTAAAAAATTCTCTCTCTCTCTCTCTCCCCCCCTCTCTTTAAAAAAAAAAAATTATTCAAGCATAGGATATATCTTATTCTAATTAGGACCCCATTCCTGTGGGTTGGCACAATGGTGGAGTTTACTTGAGTAATTTCATGTGTGTACATAGGAAAATTATATTAGATTTATTCTACTGTCTTTCCTATTCCTATCTCCCCCACTTCCTTTCATTCCCCTCTATCTAGTTTACTGAACTTCCCCCTCCTCACTTTATTGTGGGTTAGCTTCCACATATCAAGTGAAAACATTTGATCTTTGGTTTTAGGGGATTGGCTTATGTCACTTAGCATGATATTTTCCAGATCTATCCATCTACTGGCAGATTTCATAAAGTCATTCTTCGTTATGGCTGAGTAATATTTCACTGTGTTTATATATACCACAATTACTTTATCCATTCATCTGTTGATGGGCATCTAGGTTGGTTCCATAGCTTAGCTAGTGTGAATTGTACTGCTATACACATTGATGTGGCTTCGGCTGATTTTTTAAATCTTTCAGATATATGCCCAGGAGTGGGATACAACTGGGTCACATGGTGATTCTATTCCTATTTTTTTGAAGACTTTCCATACTGTTTTTTGTTTTTTTTTTCTTTTTTTAAAACATTTATTTATTTATTTTAGTTTTCGGCGGACACAACATCTTTCTTTGTATGTGGTGCTGAGGATCGAACCCGGGCCGCACGCATGCCAGGCGAGCACCCTACCGCTTGAGCCACATCCCCAGCCCCTCCATATTGTTTTATTTGCAGTTCCACCAGCAATGTATGAGCATTTCCTTTTCCCCACACCCTTGCCAACATTTGTTGTTACTTGTATTTTTGATAATTGCCATTCATACTGGAGTGAGGTGGAATCTCAGTGCAATTTTAATTTGCATTTCTGTAATTACTAGAGGTGTTAAACATTTTTTCGTGTATTTATTGATCATTTGTTTTTCTTCTTTTGAGAAGTGTCTGTTCAGTTCCTTTGCCCATTTATTGACTGGGTTATTTGTTTTACATGTGACTGTTTAGTTTTCCCAGTACCATTTGTTGAAAAAGAATCCCCACTGAATTTTCTTGGCATTCTATTCCACTGGTCTATAGTCAGTCATTTTACCAGTACCACACTGTCTTGATTACTGTGAATTTTGAAATAAAAAGTTATGAGTTTACAATACTTTTTCAAGATTGTTTTGGTGATTTTGGGTCCCTTACATTTCCATATGAATTATAGGATCAGCTTGTGCATTTCTGCAAAAACGCCAGCCAAGATTTTTGTAGTAATTAGGTTGGATCTATAAATCAATTTAGGGAATATTATTATCTTAACAATATTAAATCTTCTAATCCATGAACAGGAAGTGTCTATTTATTTGGATCTTTAATTTCAGAACAAAGTTTTTTAATATTTCATAGTTTTTAATATACAAGTTTCACATTTCTTTTGTTAAATTTGAGTATTTTCTAGTTTTTGATGCTATCACAAATAGGATTGTTTTCTTAATTTCATTTCAGAGTAATACATAGAAATACATTTGACTTTTGTATGGTAATTTTATGTCTTATAGCTCTGCTGAATTTATTTGTTCTACTAGCTTTTTGTCCCCCCCCTCCCCTTCCCCCCAGTGGTGGGAATTGAACCCAGGGATTTGCATGAGCTAGGCAACCTTTCTAACACTATATCCCCAGCCTCACTTTTACAACTTATAGGAGCTTTATGTGGGGGAGGGGTATATCATGTATAACTTTGTATTATGTAATAGGACTCAATGAATATGTGTATTTGCTTTTTATTAATATGGTTATATTTTTTAAATGCACTTTTTTTCTTTTTTCTGCTTAATTTTTAAATTTATTTATTTATTGGTACTGGGGATTGAACCCAGGGACATTTTATCACAGAAGTACATCCCCAACCCCCCCCCCCCCATTTTTTATTTTGAGATATGATCTCACCATATTGCTTAGGGCCTCACTAAGTTGCTATGGCCTTGAATTTTCAGTCCTCCTGCCTTAGCCTCCTGAGTCACTGGGATGGTATTGCAGACTTGTGCCTAACTTGCTTAAGTATTCTTTTCTTAAAAATTTGTTTTCACGTTTTAACCATTTTTAAATGGTAGTGATTGCGCTGGGGTGTGGCTCAGGGGTAGAGTGCTTGCCTGGAATGTGAGAAGCACTGGGTTTGTTTCTCAGCCCCACATATAAATAAATAAACATCTTTCGACAACTTAAAAAAGAGATATAGGGGCTGGGGATATAGCTCAGTTGGTAGAGTGCTTTATTTTGCATGCACAAGGCCCTGGGTTCAATCCCCAGCACCACAAAAAAAAAAAAGAAAAATGATATGTGTGTGTGTGTGTGTGTGTGTGTATATATATATATATATATATTTATTTATTTATTTATTTTATATTATATTTGGAGGGCTGCCAGATTATAAATTAATAACAAGTAAATTTGTATTTCTTGGTTTTGGCTACCTTGAACAAACATTTTTGGATACGTAACTATTCTATTTTATAATTTTTTAAGGTATTGATTTATTTAAGGAGTGCAAATTGGGATACCCGGATTGCAGCAGGACAAGCTGTTGAGGCTATAGTGAAAAATGTGCCTGAGTGGAATCCAGTACCAAGAACAAAACAAGGTGCTTTTAAGTGGAAAAAGTAGCTTGAAGTAAAAACCTAATTGCAGAATTAACTATAATAGTGTAGTTTATATTTGAATAACTTTTATTTTAATTTAGTTTAGTTTTAGTGCTTTCAGGTGAGATTTTTGTCAGAAAATGATATTGAATAAGGTGATTTTTACCACTGAACATAAAATAAATGAATAAACAATGTTTTTATACATTATTAAAATTACTAATACTATAGTATGCTCAAGGAATGAAAATTCTGAAAAAAGAAATTAAGTGAATACAGTGCTAATATGTGAAACAATCCATTTTCTTATTGATGGGAGAATAGTATAGTGAGGTTATTTTCTAAATTTAAGCATAATTAAGTTACATGTGGATAATTGAAAGGGCAAATCTTTAATTTTTTATGTGCTCCTTAGAGCATTCTGTAGTGGTAAAAAAAAATTGTGTTTGTCTTCTGATTATAATGACATTTAAAAACAAATTATGCTTTTGAAAAGTTGAAAAGGTATACATTTTAAGTGAAAATGTATTTTTTATTTTTATTTCAATTAGAATTCTTTTTTGATTCCCAGAACAAGGCAAGACTGATGTTAAAGGACAAAATTACTAATTTAGTTTAACGTTTTTATTAGCTTTATTTTCATTTCTGAAATCAAGCCACATTTTATAAAACAGAATAAGTGTTCCCTAAGTAAAAATTTAAAATGTTGCAATTATATCCATTTTCATGTCACCAGAATAACATCACTTTTAGCATACATCTTAGCTTGTCTAAAATTTTTGCTTTTATTTTCTGGACCTATTATTTTGAATTATTGTGTTGATTTGTCTTCTCTTGTCTAGTGAAATGTATAAGCAGGAGACATTATAACTTGTAGAAAAGAACCTTCTCTTTGCTAGCTCATTATTCCTTATTATACATATACTGCAAGTTATGATGTGCAATTTCCTTTGATTCTACACTTTGTCTATATGTTCATTAATATTTTAAACCTATCTAGAAACTACTTCGGAAAGTTCAATGGAAGATTCATCTACTACAGATCGATTGAATTTTGACAGATTTGACATATGTAGACTGTTACAACATGGAGCATCACTTTTGGGGTCTGCTGGTGCAGAATTTGAAGTCCAAGATGAAAAATCAGGTATGTAATAGTAATAAAGCCTGAACTTTGTGTTTTCATACTGATATGTCACATGGTATATATTTTCATTGTAATCTAACATGTCAGGAAATGTAAATTGAAGTTTGTAGGTAGATAAGGATGATATTGGTGGGAAAGGTAGCCATCAGTCTGTTTTTAAAAGCTACAGTAGAATTATGTTTCTTCCTCTTAAGTGAATGTGTACCATGTATCATTAGTTGATACATATTAATATTTCAGGAGTAATTTTACTATGTAATATAGAAATTAGATGTATTACTCAGAAGCTTCAGGATATAGATTTAAAAATCAGTTTTAGCACAGTATATAGTAATGTTTTCCCAGCTGTGGAAATTTGAGAGATCATTTGATTGTTTTATTTATTTATTGACAGTGCTCGGGATCAAACCCAGGGCCTTCTGCGTGCTAGGCATGCAGTCTACTATCAAGAAGCACTCCCAGCCCCATGGTTGTTTTATCTTCCATCTTGTGTTTCTAATATGGTTGGATCTTCTCATGCTGGCATCTAAAGCAAAAACTAAAAATTAAAATTTGGGTAGATAATTGTCCCATTATCATTAAACTTACAGAATCTTCTGGATATAAAATAAATGTTTTGGCCATTCAAGATTGTGGCCTTGAGTGGAAAAACCTTGATGTTTTTAATGGATTTCTGTAAGTAAATAAGTTGCCCTTTGACTAAAAACCAAAACTGAATAGGGCTTTTTGTTTCTTGCTAATTAATTATCATTCAGAGCATTTTAGTTTTGTTAATCTCTAAACGAACTTCAATTTGTTCCACTTAAAAATCGCCAGAAGCCATTTTCTCTTATTATGGTTTTTATTTAAAATATCTAGTTTATTTTTGGAGAGTATTAACAGGATAATTTTCTTAAGTTTCAAGAAAAGCATAGTTTTTTAGATAAGGGACATAGAACTCTTTTAAAAAAAATTTTGAAACCATTATTTGTAAACAGTAAGTTTCTAAGCTTATTAGAATATCATAGATGTTATAAGAGATCCTTGATTCTTTTTCCACATATAAAAGACAGTATCTTCTTTGCCACTTTTTAAAAATGTGTGTTTGGGTCTTATCCTGTAGATTTATGATTTCTTAGATCTATGGAGAGCAATGCAAAATTGTATTTAAAAGAACAGCTCTTTAGGGCTGTAGCTCAGCGATAAAGCACTTGCCTAGCACATGTGAGGCACTGGGTTTGATCCTCAGCACCACATAAATAAATAAAATAAAGGTATTGTGTCCATCTACAACTAAAACAATATATTGAACAACAAAAAATAAACAAAAATAAAGAACAGCTCTTTAAGTGACTCTGATATACAACCAGATTCAAAACCCCATTTTTTTTGAGAACTCAGTGTTAGTATGATAAGTCACACTTGCTTGAACAGTGCTCATTGAAAACCTGAAGTTAGGGTTTTTTGTTTTTTTTTTTTACTTTAAATGACCTGTTTTTGTTTTCTCATATATGAGTGTCTATACGTGATTAGTATAGCTATTTGTCTAAGTTTGCTTTGCAGTTAAGTTGTGTTGATAATTTCCCTGTAGGACTTTCCTTGGAATGGGAGGACAAGTTTGGGGGTCAGTGTTTTGAGACTTGTGATCCAACAGTATTTACCTTTGGATGCCTAGTTTTTTTCCTTTCTGAGTAGAGCAACCTTGCTTTTCTTTTTTTCTTTTAAATTATTTGGCACTGAGGGTTGAATCAAGGGGTGCTTTGCAACTACATCTCCAGCCCTTTTTATTTTTTATTCAGTGTCTCTCTAATTTGCCCAGGCTGGCCTCCAAATTGTAGTCCTCCTTCCTTTCTTGCTGCAGTCTGGCTGGGCACAATTCACAAGCCGCTTGTCAAGCAGAAACTGATTGGCTGGGTTGCGTGGGCGGAGCCCAAAAAGTCCCCCAATGAGCAGCTCCGTGGTCTGAAAGGGCGGGGAAACAGCCCAATGAGCATCACCGCAGAGGAGCCAATCAGTTGGCAGCTAGAAGTTTGCTGGGGCCGCTGTGAGCCAATCATCTGCTGGCAGCTGGAAGTTTGCTGGTAGCTGGAAGTTTGCTGGGGCCCCTTCGGCTGTGGCTCTCAACACTTACCCTCTCAAGTTGCTGGGATTATAGGCATGTGCCACCTCACCAGGCTTGAGTAGAGCAATCTTTTAAAATTTTTTTCAAATAGCTTTACTGAAATATAATTCACATTTCATGCAATTTACCCATTTCAGCAAAGTATAGTTATTTTAATTAGGAAGTAGAACTCTTAAAAGGCTTTATTTTTGGAACAGTTATTGCTGTAAGTAAGTAAACTTACTGTTTAGCAATAAGTATAGTTTAGTGGGTTTTATCATATTCACAGACATGCAGTGTCACTAGAGTCAGTTAAATCTAATTAATTAATTAATTGGTACTGGTGCTTGAACCCAGGAGTGCTTAACTACCAAGTTACATCTTCAGCCCCCTTTTTTAAATTTTTTTACTTTTGAGACGGTCTCACTAAGTTGCTGAGGGTATCCCTGAGTTGCTGAGGCTGACCTGGAACTTGGAATTCTCCCTTCTCAACCTCTCAAGTCTCTGGGATTATAGGCATGCACCACCATAGCTGGCATCACAGTCAATTTTAGAACATTTTAATTGCCTCACAAAGAAACCCATATTTTTTAACTATTACTCTTTTATCCTCCTACTTTCTTTCTCCTTTTTGCTCTAAGAAACCATTTGTCTATGTTTTGACTATAGATTTCCTATTCTGGACCTTACTTGTAAATGAAATATGATATGTGATCTTTGGTGATTGGCTTCTTTTACTTAGCAGAATGTTATCCATGTTGTAACGTATGTCAGTAGTAATTCAGTAGTAATTCTTATTACTGTTATGAAATGTATTAGGTTTCTTAAAAAAATTGTGGTAAAGTATGCATAACATAAAATTTATCATCTTAACTGTTTTGAAGTATACAGTTCAATAGTGTTAAGTACATATGTTGTGCAGCCAGTTTTCAGAAGTCTAAATATTGCAAGACTGAAACAATATACCCATTAAATAGAAACTTCCCACTTCCCCTTGCCCCAGCTCTTGGTGACCACGATTCTACTTTGTATGAATGGCTTATTTCACTTAACAGCAAGTCCTCTAGATTTATTCACATTGTAGTGTTAGAGTTTCTGTCCTTTAAAGGCTCAGTAATATTTCATGTGTGTATAAATCACATATTATTTACCCTTTCATCCATCATTGCCACACTTTGGCCATAGTAAATAATGCAGTTGTGAACACATATCAGTTTGAGTAGTTTCTGCTTTCAGTACTTTTGGTTGTATACCTAGGAGCGAATTTCCAAGCAGATAATATAATTCTGTTTGTAATCTTTTGATAAACTACTATAAGTTTTCCATAGCAATTGCATCACTTTATATTCTTACCAACAGTGCATAAGGATTCCAATTTCTCCACATCCTTGTCAGAACTTTTTTTTTTGCAGTGTTGAGGATGGAACCCAGAGCCTCATGCATGGTAGACAAAGTACTCTACCATGGGTCTACTCCCCAGCCTTTATTTATTTATTTATTTGTTTGTTGTCAGTGGACATTTATTTTATTTATATGTGGTGCTGAGAATTGAACCCAGTGCCTCATACATGCTAGGCCAGTGCTCTACCCCTGAGCTACAACCCCAGTCCCCTTGCCTTTAGTTTCTGTTTCTGTTTTTATTTTTGATACTGGGGATTGAACTTCAGGTCTCACCCAAGCTAGGTAAACATTCTACCATTGAGCTATATCCCAAGTCTCTGGTTTAGTTTTGAGATGGTCTTGCTGAGTTGCCAAGACTCCCTTGAACTTGTTATCCTCCTGCCCTGGTCTTCCAAGTAGCTGGGGTTACAAGCATGTGCCACCAAGTGCAGTCTAGGACAACTTCTTTTTTTAAAATAGTTTTATTGGTATGTTTTGCACATCATATGACTGATCCTTTTCAAGGATTCAATTCTACTTTGTAGTTTCTGTTTCTCTACCAAGGTATCCTTTCATTCATTGTGATAGTATCTTCCTTAAATTGTGACAATATCTTCCTTAAATTGAGCACTGTTGTATTAGCTGCTTTAAAAAAAGTTTTTTTTTAAAGATGCTTTTATTTTAGCACTGTAGTCATCACTTAGCAAGTGGTATTTTTTTTTTTTTTTTTAAAGAGAGAGAGAATTCCCCAATATTTATTTTCTAGTTTTTGGCGGACACAACATCCTTGTTTGTATGTGGTGCTGAGGATCAAACCTGGGCCGCACACATGCCAGGCGAGCGCGATACCCGCTTGAGCCACATCCCCAGCCCCTGCTTTAAAATTTTATAATTCCAACATCTGTTTGTATTGAAGTTGGTCTCCATTGTCTTTTTTTGAGAATAAGTTATGTTTTCTTGTTTCTTTGTACATTGTTGAATTTTGAATGTTATGCCATGCAAGCTGGATTCTGTTTTATTCCTTTGAAGATTGTTATTGTTTTTGCTTGCTTGTTTGCTTTAGCAGGCATTTAATTTAACAGAACTCGGAATTTCAAGTTCAGTCTCCTTTATGGTAGACGGTAGCTCAAATCTCAGTTTTGGCTTTTAGATTTTGGCTTTAGTTTCATTGTTTGGAATCTGCTCTGAGTCAGCCAGAGACTTGGTCTGAATTTACCCAGAATTTGGACAGCCTTCTCTTTGGCTCTGCCTTTTTTGACTTTTTCTTCCTAGTAACTGTTGTGGTCCCTAACTCTCTTTTTCTTTCTAGTTCTTCAAGCCAGAAAGACTTGCAGATTTTACAGTTTTTAGTTTGTGGTAATTGAGGATTGAACCCAGGGCCTTGGGTGTAGTAGGCAAGTGCTCTACCCCTGAGCTATGTCCCCAATCTATCTTTCTTTCTTTCTTCCTTCCTTTCCTTTCTTTTTTAAAAATGGGATCTTATTTTGCCCAGGCTGATCTCAAAAGTTACAATTATCCTTGACCTCTTAAGTAACTGGAATTATTTTTGTACATACCCAATGATGGGGGTTTTAATCCAAGTTTTAGCTGTCCCACATTGCATGGACTGGATCTGTCTTCAGTCTAAAAGCTACAGAAAGGAGAATCCCATCCAGTGCCATTCCCTTCTTCTAGCTGTTGTCAACTCTCATAAGTAAATGCCTACTTTTATTCCATTTTTAGTCCCTTCAGATAATTTTTTTGGGGGGTGGGGAGACAGTACTGGGGATTGAACTCGGGGGCACTCGACCACTGAGCCACATCCCCAACCCTATTTTTTGTATTTTATTTGGAGACAGGGTCTCACTGAGTTGTTTAGTGCCTCGCTTTTGCTGAGTCTGGCTTTGAACTCGTGATTCTCCTGCCCCAGCCTCCCGAGCCGCTGGGATTACAAGCATGTGCCGCTGTGCCTGGCCCTTCAGGTAGTTGTTAAAATAACATTTTGACCAGGGTTGCTATCTGCAGAGGGTTATTCTAAGAGGAACTTAACTCAGACATTACAAGAAGCAGGTCATTATTGTTTTTAAAACTAAAAACATTTCAACAATGTAGAGAGACCTCTTTTGTAGTTTCATTGTTTTAAGGCTCAGTTTTTATTTTTGAAGTAATATCTTTTTGTGTATTCTGCTCTTGTCCACTGAAGGATCAAGGGTTTACTTGAAACATTCAAAACCTATTTTTTTTTCCTTATCTTTGTTATTTGGAATACATCATTTGAAAACATATAAAGGCCACATTTGGAATAAATATTTATTTGTTGATCTTTTCTGCTAAATAAAATCTAGATTTTAGCGGGGTACATGATGCACACCTGTTATCCCAGCTACTTGGAAGGTTGAAACAGGAGGATCATAAGTTTGAGGCCAGCCTTGGCAACTTTGCTAGTGAGACCCTGTTTCAAAAAAGAACTGGGGACATAGCCTAGTGGTAGACTTTGGGTTAGTCCCCAATACTGGTGATCTGCTATTAAAATTCAGATTTTGTTTTGTAGTCTAGTTAGAGCTTTCTAGCTATAAAATAAGATTGTTTTATTTCCATAAGAATAAATCTTATTATTTCATATATACTAGATAATGGATAATGTGACAATGAAACTATCTCAGGGAAAACTCTTAAAATGTTTTGTTAGAATACTATTTTTCAGTCATGATTAGGCAATGGATTTATGGGATGTTGATATTATTGTGTGATTCTTTTGGTAAAAGGGGTATAATGGTTTGTTTTAATGGAGTCTGATAGGCATATAGAAGACATTTTCGTAACTGATTTGGAGGAAATGTATTTCTTTTCTGTTTAAAGGTGAAGTAGATCCTAAAGAGAGGATAGCACGTCAGCGAAAACTATTACAGAAGAAACTTGGCCTTAATATGGGAGAAGCAATTGGAATGAGTACTGAAGAACTCTTCAATGATGAAGATTTGGATTATACACCAACTTCAGCAGCCCTTGTAAACAAACAACCTGTAGGTAAAACATGTGGTTGTTTATTTGCAAATAACACAGAGGGTTTGCTTCATTTCACTTATGCATTTGTAATTCTATTTAAATGCTGTGCTTAATTTTATTATTGTTGTTTAGTGCCACTATACTGTTTTCATAAACAAAATTTATATTTTTATTTATTCTTTTTGTGTGTGTGTGTGATATGGGGGATTAAACCCAGGCTTCAAACATGCTAATAAGCAGGCACTTCACCTATATCACTATATCCCTGCCCCTTTTTAAAAATTGTATTTGAGCTGGGCACAATGGTGCATACCTGTAATCCCAGTGGCTCCAGAGGCTGAGGCAGCCTCAGCAAAAGCACAGCACTAAGCAACTCAGTGAGACCCTGTCTTTAAATAAGATACCAAAAAAAAAAAAAAAAATTAGGACTGGGGATGTGGCTTAGTGGTCAAGTGCCCCTGAGTTCAATCTCCCCTATCCCTCCACCCTCCCCAATTATATTTGAGATATAGGGTCTCTCTCAGTTGTCTAGGCTGCCCTGGAAATTGCAATATTCCTTCTTCAGCCTCTCAAGTAATTGGGATTACAGACATGTGTCACCACTCTCAGCATATAAACTAAATTTCTGCAGACAGATTGTATGGAGAAAGAAACTTAGCCTATCTCCTAAACATTGGACTGTTAAATAAAAGCTGTGGTGACCCTTTTAGGAGCCACTGGTGTTGAAAGATCCTAGTTGCTGCATTTGTTCTTTCCGTTCCTTTTTTTGTGTGTGTGTGTGTGTGTGTGTGTGTGTATGAAAGAAAAAGTAATTTGGAGGAAGAGTGAGAAAGAAGAAAAGCTATTAAAACTATTATAGACAGATTTGATGATAGACATCTTCAGAGCTGTGATTTATGAGGGAAAATGTCCAAAAAACACTTTCAAACAATAACAACAAAAAAAGGTTGTACAGTATGAAGTAAAACATTTTTTGCCCATGTTCATGGACATACATGTCCCTATGCCTCATCAACAACCCTTTTTTTAAGTTTCTTGTGCATCCTTCCTGCAATTTTCTGTACACATGCAAGTATGTATGTATCCATTTAAGCCCTGTTTACCTTTTCTCACTTCATACAATTTAATATATCAGTGTATACAGATTGATCACATTCTTTTAGATAACTTCCTTTTGTTTTATTTTGTGGCTGGACAAAATAAAAGGCAAATAGAATCAGCACTTTTTTCCCTCTTTTCACTTTTTTTCCTCCTTTTTCATTGGTCTTTCAGTTCCCAATGGATGCACTAGAGTATATTTTGACATATTATACATACATGGAGTATCACTTCCCATTCTTGATGATAATATTTCTTTTGTGGACATTCTTTATTCTCATAACTTTTAATTGGTAATGTGGTTATTTTGAAGTCTCACCTCTTCAAAGCCCTTTTTATGGGTTAGCATTCATTTGTGCCATGTGTGGCATAAAAAGTTAAAAGGTGTATCTGTTGGGAATTGGAAGAATAAGGAAGGAGGAGGAAGAAAATGAAATTATGGATCCAGCTATACAATAGAATAGCATAGCATAGCATAGGGCTGTCAAAGAATGTGATTGATCTGTATATACTGAAATTTATAGTATAATCCTCTGTAAATTAGTCCTCTACTGAGGCTAAGACTATAAGTACTTATTTTAACCTCTGAAGTTCAAACTCAGCATTCTTTTACTCTTTTAGATGCTCCAGGCAGCAGAGTTGATTGACTCAGAATTCCGAGCAGGAATGAGCAATAGACAAAAGAATAAAGCTAAAAGAATGGCCAAGCTTTTTGCAAAACAGAGATCCAGGGATGCAGTGGAAACTAATGAGAAGAGGTAGTAATCTTTCTGTTTTTTCACTTAAAACAATAATGTTGTGTAGTTTAAATCTATGTCTGCTTGATTTGTAAAAAACATTTTGCCGTTTTTTGTTTAATTGGGGAGTACTGTTTGGATTGTTTTTCTTAGTTGTCAGAGAGTATTTACTGTTACTGGGGACTAAGACCACTTCCCAAGAAAAGTCCTTCCGAATAGATTTTTTTTTTGTTTGTTTCTAATTATCAGCTCCAAATGATGGTTAAAGATTACAAAGGGGAAAGAGTATTCCAGGTGGAGGGAATAAATGTAAATGCCTTGATCTTGGAATATACAAGAATCAGAAGGGAAGTTTGGCTGGGAATAAGTGAATGAAAGGGAGATTAGTAGAGAAGGATTTCAGAGAGGTGGTCAAAAGATCATAAGTTAAGAATACTGCCAAGTAAAGTGAGAAGTATTGTCAAGGTATTGTATCATCTCTTCCCTAGGCTGGGCTTATGCTAAATTGTGGTAATGATCCAGGATTGCTTACTCAGTCTTGTAGAAAAGAACTCTATAGGTAAAGCCATTCTTTTCAGTTTCTTTTTTTCTTTTTTTTTTTAAGAGAGATAATTTTTTAATGTTTATTTTTTAGTTTTCGGCAGACACAACATCTTGTATGTGGTGCTGAGGATTGAACCCGGGCTGCACGCATGCCAGGCGAGCACGCTACCGCTTGAGCCACATCCCCAGCCCATCAGTTTCTTAATGAGTTAATCAAAGTGTTATCTGTGTGTGGCTTGGACCAGTGGTTCTCAAAGGGTAGTTCAAAATGGCTTCCTCCAGATGTTCTCTGAGGTTCTTAATGTCCAGTTTTTTTGGCCCTTATTTTTATCTGAACAGAGTCTTTGATTGGTGTTCAAGAAATTTTTGAGTAAATGATGAATTAATAAACATTGAAACTCTTATAAAATTAGAACTTTATAGGCAAATAGTAGTTGTTGCAAATAGCAGTACTTTGTTGTTTTTCTGTTCATATAAAGATAAAAGGTGTTTATAGTAGTTGTTTAAAAGCTAAGCACCAATGAGCATCCCTTGGTAGAAATTTATACTTCGGGGCTGGGGATATGGCTCAAGCGGTAATGTGCTCGCCTGGCATGCATGGAGCGCTGGGTTCGATCCTCAGCACCACATAAAAATAAAATAAAGATGTTGTGTCCACCGAAAACTAAAAAATAAATATTAAAAAAATTCTCTCTCTCTCTCTCTCTCTCTCTCTCAAAGAAATTTATACGTGGGATTAAGTTTTGTTTTATTAAGGGTTTAAATTTTATTGAAATTAACTACTTTTTAAAGTGAATAACTCATTAGATCATAAACAAATTGATCTAAATGTTCCAGAATATTCCAAAATGCAAAAAATTAAAATCAGAAGCACTTCTTATCTCAAGCATTTTGGATAAAGGATAATTAGGTTACTCTTAGTAACCTAATAAACGTTCCTACTAGTTTTTATTCAAATACTTTACCCAAAGATTTGAGTGTTGGAAAGATAGACTTATTTTTCAGAGTTTACAAATCATTCATCCCACTAAAGTTGTTAAATACTTTCTATCTGCCGGGTACTGTTGTAGGCCCAGAGTATTCAGTAGTGAATATAATAGATTAGAATTTCTGCCATTGGAGCTTAAAGGGAAAGAAGGATGTATAATGAGATATGTTGTGTTATATATGTTTGTCACTTTAATGATAAGGGTTAAATGTGGAGAAAAGGATAAAATGAGGAAGAAATGTGGATACAGAATTTGAAATTTTAGATTGGATGGCCTAGAAGGGCTTCACAGAAGTGACTTCTGAGTAAGATAAGAAAGAAGTAAGAGTGGCTCTGACTATCTAGAAAAAGACATTCCAAATAGAGGAAATTATAAAAGCAAATATCTAACAATGGAGACACACCTAATAAATTTAAGAATGTAAAGTGACCAACCAATGTAGCTAGATTGGGGAAAATTAAGGGAAGAATAATAGAGGTTGAGGTTAGGGAGGCTCAGATTTCTTGCATGAACCCGTATTATTCAGCATATTCGTTTTCTCCAGAATACTGAAGCCCAAAGAAGATAGTGTTATGCTAGGCCAGATTACATTGTTGTAATTTAAAAAGGAGTGGAGCTGGTTCTACGGGGAAGAAAGAGTGATCATTAGATTTGGCATTCAATTTGAAAGGAAGCATTCATTGACCCATAGAGTGGTGGGATTTATTTTGCTCAAAAAATATTAAGTAGTTACTTTCAGTTATGTAATACATGAGATTTTTAATAAATCATATAAGCAGAATATGCTAGAGCATTTATTCAAGTGATGGATTTTCTTACATTCATTGTGGTTCACATTATCCTTTGCCTACTTTTTGAAATGATGTCTTTTATTTTTTAGCAATGATAGCACTGATGGGGAGCCAGAAGAAAAGAGACGGAAAATAGCAAATGTTGTTGTTAATCAGACTGCAAATGATTCCAAAGTCTTGATTGACAACATTCCAGACAGCTCTTCCTTAATTGAAGAGGTACTACTGAAATAGCCTAAAGTGTCTGTTAAAATTGTTTATAATTTTTGAAGCTAATGTCCAGTTGAGAGTACTGAATAATTTATCAGTTGAGAAATTTTATTGGTAAACATTTTGCATCTTTATTACTAAAAAATAATTATTTTAAAAAAATTTAGAGCTTGATCACTGCCACTTAAACCTACAAATGAATACTTTTATTGAATTACTAAATGTTAGCATAAAACAGATCTTTTAAACTAGTAGTAACTTTCTTTCTTATTCAGACAAATGAATGGCCTTTGGAAAGCTTTTGTGAAGAACTTTGCAATGACCTTTTTAATCCCTCCTGGGAGGTAAGATATCTTCATTACAGTTTCTCTGGGCTAGTATTTTTTGTGCTGATGAAGGAAACAGTGTCTTGACCCAGTATACTTTGTCAAGGGTCTCTAGTCTTCTCTAGAGACTAGGACATCAGGGCACATCATATCATTGACCTTGAAGTAGAAAAATTGGCTTTTCTCCTTTTATATCCTTTTAGTCATGCTTTAAAGTGAATTGTTTATTTCTTTTCATTCTGTTGACTATAATCTAAAAGTATGCATTTTTCTCCCAGGCATTGTTTCCTTTTCTTTGAATGGATAGTTTTGATTAATCAAGAACAGTACTTTCAGAGGTTGGGGATATAGCTCAGTAAGCCTGTGCTTAGCATGCACAAGACCCTGATTTTAATCCTCTACACGCACACAAAAAAAAAAACAAGGAGTGGTTTCAAAACCAGTTTTTCACCCTCAAAAATATTCTTCAAAGAAAATCTTGAACAGGTTTCAGTATGTAAGAAAGATGATAGTGAAACATTTGATTGAATTGGTAGTCTTAACCTAGTCTGTCCCCCTTTGGCCCTAGGGTAACTAAAAAATAATTTTTTTTTTTTTTTTTTTTTTTGCTTTGGGCTTGGGAATGTAACTCAGTAGTAGAGCACTTGCATACTATGCATTATCCCAGCACAGCAAAGGGAAAAAAAAAATGCTTTGAAAGGTTTTAGCAGCATTTCTGTTCTTTTATGTACTTCTGTTTATTCAAGTCTTGGCTCAAATGAGGATTTGAGTATGGTGTCAGTAGCTTGTTTTTTGTTTTTTTTTCCCTTCCAGATGACACTGGGGAAAGTATCTTTACCTTCACTAAGAAAGGCGATTTATCCCAGGGCAACAGTAAAGCATTAGTCATGAGACATTTTGTTTGAATTTTCATTTTTTGGCACTTAACACTGATTATCTTGGAGCTTTTACCACTGAGCCACATCCCCAGTCCTTTTTATTTTATTATTTTTTAAAAATTTCAAGACAGTATCTTGCTAAGTTGCCAAGGGTCCCTTGGAGTTGTTAAGGCTGGACTTGAACTTATTATTCTCCTATATCACAGCCTCCTCAGTCACTGGAATTACAGGCATGTGCCATTGTGCCCAGCGTCCCCCACCGTTTTTAGTTGTAGATGGACACAATGTCTTTATTTTTATTTATTTATTTATTTTTGGTGTAGTGCTGAGGATTAAACCCAGTGCCTCACACATGCGAGGCAAGTGCTCTACCACTGACCTACAACCCCAGCCCTCCCTTTTTCTTAATTGAAGGAAAGATTGGTTTCTTTAAACATTTCATCTCTGACATTTGCTTCTTGGTTCTTTTTAGGTTCGACACGGTGCAGGCACTGGACTAAGGGAAATTCTTAAAGCTCATGGAAAAAGTGGTGGTAAAATGGGAGATAGCACTTTAGAAGAGGTAAGTGTATTAAAGCTCTGAATATTGCCAAGCTTTTTAGTAATTGGTTTGTTTTTACCATAGAGGGAAGTAACAAAAGTATGCATCATTGCATCATGAAATAGGAGTGAGGGGTAAATAATAGGGAGAATTATGAGTGGTAGAGTGCTTACCTAGCATGTGTGAAGCACTGGGTTTGAATCTCAGTGCCTCATATAAATAAATAAATAAATAAATAAATAAATAAATAAATAAATAAATAAAATGAAGATCCATTGATAAACAAAATTTAAAAAAAAATGAAGAGGCAAAAAGGAAAGATAGGAAGTTTGTTTATAAACAGGAAAAATGAGTTTGGGGAAGGACATGTTTGGAAACATTGAGTGGGAAAACATGTAGAAGCAAGAGTATTTGAGCAAGACATAATGAAGTGGAAGAGTAAGGTGAATAAGAGGTTAGTGGAAAGGTTGGAGAGCAGCATGATTGTTATAGCAAGAGACACTGGTATTAGAATAGTAGATATGTAACAAGTTTATTTGATACCTGAGCAACCTTAAGTCATTAGTTTCTCTTTGAAGTACAAGTAAGAGAATCCATCAATTTAAGACTTTTTATATACTATGTAGGAGTCAAATTAAATCAGCAAAGAGGATATACTTAATTTTTAAAGGTAGTAATTAAAATGGTTCTACTTTTTGGTTATTGCTCATTCGGCTAAAATAGTCTGTCCTAGGGGCTGGGCATGTGGCTCAAGCGGTAACGCGCTCTCCTGGTGTGTGCGGGGCACTGGGTTCGATCCTCAGCACCACATGAAAATAAAATAAAGATGTTGTGTCCACCGAAAACGGAAAAATAAATATTAAAAAAAAATAAAATAGTCTGTCTTAGTATTTTATTTTTATTTTGGATCTAAGTTATTCCTAAAGACCTATTTACAAAGTGTGATCTTTGTTATTAAAAACTGATTATGTTTTGATAGATGATTCAGCAGCATCAAGAATGGTTGGAAGATTTAGTTATTAGACTCCTTTGTGTTTTTGCATTGGATAGATTTGGAGACTTTGTTTCTGATGAAGTAAGTGTCATCAAAATGAAGCTTTTGCCCAATCAAATTTTAAATTATAGAAAATAAGTTTGTATATTTTTGCAAATATAACTTCTCTTTCTTTCTCATCTATAGGTTGTAGCACCAGTTCGGGAAACTTGTGCTCAGACATTAGGTGTGGTTTTGAAACACATGAATGAAACAGGAGTTCATAAGACTGTGGATGTGCTGCTAAAATTACTTACACAAGAACAATGGGAAGTTAGGCATGGTGGTCTACTGGGAATAAAATATGCTTTGGCAGTTCGTCAGGTAAATCCTTCATGGTTTGAAGCATGCTGTGGGTGGGGGGTGTTCCTCTTAGTTTATTTTCATTAACCACACAGAATGGCTCCTTAATGTTTTGGACCAGCTTTTCCTCTCTTGTCTTGTTCATGATGTAAAAGAATTGAAAACTCCCTTCCTGTCCTTAAATACAAGCTCACAGCTTTTTGAAGTTTTCTAAGGTTTTTTTGTTTTGTTTTAAATGACTGCCAACAACATGACATTTCCTTGTGATTTTTGCTCGTTAACTCAAGGGCTCTCTGTACCTTATTTTCTTCTTTACTTCCTTCCTTATTTTTCCTGGCTCTAGTACTTTTTCCACACCCATCACCCTCACAAACAAAAACTGCTTTTCTATGTTGTGATCTGTAGCCCATGTAGAGAACAGCAGTGCTTCTCACAAATGGAAACGCCTTACTAGTTTTAGAAAAGCTCTCCCTATTTCATAGCAAGATCAATTCTCCGGGAGACCCCTAGTGTATGATCAAAGAAGTAGTTTCTGGGTGCCCGTCCTACTGGGGAAAATGAGAAGAGATTAGATGGGAATAGTGAGAAGCAGCAAGGGATGCCTTTTCTTTTCCTCTTATACCTGCTTTGGTGTCCCTGACATTGAATAAGAAATGGAGCTAAGGTTCTACCCTGTGTATGTGTGTGTCCATGTTCACACTGAAAATCTGTAATCTTGGGCTGGGGATGTGGCTCAAGCAGTAGCGCGCTCGCCTTGCATGCGTGCGGCCCGGGTTCGATCCTCAGCACCACATACAAACAAAGATGTTGTGTCCGCCAAAAACTAAAAAAAATAAATTAATTTTCTCTCTCTCTCTCTCTCTTTAAAAAAAAATCTGTAATCTTATTTAGGAAACATCTTCAGATATTGAAGACACATCAGTAATAAAGTACTTAATAGTCTTTCTCACATGGATTGTTTATGTTGGCTTCTACTGATGTTATTTTTCTTTTCTGTTTGTGTGATTTTTAAAAATATATAAATGTTGGACTTTATGCTATCACATGGCAAATTTAATAGAAATGTATAAGCACAACAGTTGTACTGTAGAAAACTAATCTGTTTTGATGTACTATTTTACAGGATGTAATTAATACTTTATTGCCTAAAGTTTTAACTAGAATAATTGAAGGACTCCAGGATCTTGATGATGATGTCAGAGCGGTTGCTGCAGCATCATTAGTGCCTGTAGTTGAAAGCCTAGTCTATCTTCAGACACAAAAAGTAATTTAAACTTTTTAGTATTTTTTGTTTGTTGTTGTTGTTTTCTGTAGAGCATATTTACATTTGGAATATGGATTTTTTTCCTCCTTTATTCTCAATTTTCTTGTGACAGATATCCTCTGGTGCATGTAATGTTGAATATATATGTTGTCCCTGGGAAGAATGAATTGTGCCTGTTTACTCTCTTCCTATACATAATATACAGAGACATTCCTTGAGAGGAAAGAATTTCTTCTTTATTTTACTCCTTCTTTGTTTGTTTTTATGTTAGTTTTTGAAATAATTTTTAATCTGGTTTCATTTTTTTATATATATGACAGCATTATGCATTATAATTTTTATTACACATATAGAGCACAATTTTTCATATCTCTGGTTGTATACAAAATATATTCACACTAATTCGTGTCTTTATACATGTATTTTGGATAATAATGATCATCAAATTTCACCATCATTTATAATCCCATGCCCCCTTTCTTCCCCTCCAATCCCTCTGCCCTATCTAGAGTTCATCTATTTCTCCCATGCTCCCTCTCCCTGTCCCACTATGAATCAGTCTCCTTATATCAAAGAAAATATTCGACATTTGGTTTTTTTGGGATTGGCTAACTTCACTTAGCATTATCTTCTCTAACTCCATCCATTTACCTGCAAATGCCATGATTTTATTCTCTTTTATTGCTGAGTAATATTTCATTGTGTATATATGCCACATTTTTTAATCCATTCATCTATTGAAGGGCATCTAGGTTGGTTCCTCATTTTTTTTAAGTGATTGTTTTAAGTTATATGTGATATTCCATTTTATCAAATCCAGAACACAATAGTTAAATGTGTAACTAGAATTGTATTTTGAGCTCAGAAATTAAATTTGTCTTTTCATGATGGCTAGTACCATTTTAAATGTAGCAAGATTGCTTTATATAAAGGGGCATGTCTTGTATTTCTGTACAGTATCTTCAGAGTTTAGTTTTTTATATAAAATACAGTGTTGGCTATTTTATTTTCTGAATTTTCTGCCCAGTGTGAATATGGTTAGGAAGGGAAATGCCAAAGTAGAGTTTAATGGCACTAAAAAGAGGGATAGAGATATGTTAATAGCAAATAATATGTCCCTCTTAATTTTGTTTAAAACTGCCACTATCAAAGTTAATTGGGATTGGCAGGGCTTGTGAAATTTTTGTGTAAAGTTGATAACTTTTCTTGAAAACTGATCTTATAGGTACCATTCATTATAAATACATTATGGGATGCTCTTCTGGAATTAGATGATCTCACAGCTTCAACAAATAGTATTATGACTCTTCTTTCATCTTTGTTAACTTATCCTCAGGTCCAACAATGCAGGTAATTATTTTTGATTATTATTCTTCACATACCCTTTTCAGATGATTAATCTTAAGAGTAATAAAATTTAAGTTGAGGATGGCAAAGATCACAGGCAGCCCCTTTCTCCTTATTGTAGCCACAACACATTTGGGGTAAGAAGTTATTTTCAGGGATGGGCATAGCTTAGTAATAGAGTGTGTTTGGCATGCACAAGGTTCTGAATTCAGTCTTCGATGCTTCTCTCCTACCCCCAATTTCCTTATCCTAGAGTTATTTTAGTTATGTAAGTCTATAAAATAGTTCACTTTAAAAACATAATCATTACATATTGTTACCAGCTTTGGTCCCATAATGTAGACATTATTTAATGATATTAAGTTTATAGGATTATACTTGACCATCAGTTTTCTATTTTCAAAAACTTTCTCTCTGTGAACTTTTTTTTTTTTTTTTTTTAATATTTATTTAGTTGTAGATGAACACACAGTATCTTTATTTATTTTTATGTGGTGCTGGGGAATGAACCCAGTGGCTCACACATGTGAGGCAAGTACTTTAGCACTGAGCTACAGCCTCAGCCCCTGAACTTTTTCTTTGTAATGTTAATTTCCTCAATTCTTATTCTTGATTTCAGTAATTTCTTATCAGAAAGTGAATACATAATACTGTTATGCTCAAAGGCAGAGATTAGGTGAAGCCAAAAACATACATCAGAAATTTAAAGTTAATGGCTTTGATATCCTGATATTTAATGTAAAGCTCAGTTAATTAGTGTGTTCCCTATCTTTTAAGACTGGCTCCTAAATATTATTGACTCCTTCTATGCAAGTTTTAAAAATTCACAGTTGAGAATGTTAATTACTTTTCTTAACTTCGTGAGGGTGGTCAATGAAAGTTTGTAAAATTGTGACTTAAGAATGTTCTGGCTTATAAGTATTTCCAGTGGAAATTAGATGTATAAAGAAACATGTAGAAAAGCTCTCAAATAATATGACTTTCTTTTATTTTAACACTAAATTTAGACTAGTAGGACAGCACATAAGTAGGAATAACTAAATAAGTGTTTGTAAAAACAGTAGAAGAGAGAAATTGAAGTGGTGGTACATGTATGGGGTTTCCTACTTTTTGTATGTTTTAATTACTAATGAAAATTACAGGAATTAAGTGAGTTTATCCATATGAAAACTCTCCCTAAATTGCAAAATGCAGAGATTTTAAATTGCTCTAAATCAAGAGTTGGTTAAGTTTTTCACAGTGAAGGCACAGATAGTAAATATTTTTGGTTTGTGAGTCAAACAGTGTCTGTCACAATTACTCCATTCTGCAGTTACAGCATGAAAACAGCCATATAAAACCCATAAAGGAATGAACTTGCCTGTGTTCCAATAAAACTTAAAAAAAAAAAAAAAAAGGCTGGAGTGGATCTGACATTTATTTGCGCCTTATAGGATGGTGTCAGAAAAACTAGATAATGTAAGAAAATGAAATGATGTTTTGAAAATTCTGGGAAATTGATGTGAAATAATGTAGTTTTCTATGCTTTTATTTGTTTATTTCAAAATTGCATTATTAGAAATTTTGCTTCATCTGTGTGTTATTTGGCAGATACTTTGCAGCTTATGTAAGAAGGGATGCAGCATGTTTTTTGGTGCATGAACAATTACACTATTAACAAGACATTGTTATAATGCTTTATGTATTTTAAGTGTCTTATGTCTTTGTGTGCATGTGTTCAAATTAGAATTTTATAAATGAACTTAGTACATGTGTAAATGAACTTAAGTGCAAGAAGTAATGTTCATACAAACTTGCAAATAATAAAAATAATATTAAAAGAGGAGTTCTGAGAGGAAACATTAGAGATGAATAGATAAGAAATTAACCTTGGCATGTTCTTTTTTTGTTCATGCCTTTTTCTACAGAGGTGTATATTTCAAATGCTACTTATGAATCATTTCCTAATTCTAGGAAACTTTTACAACTGACTCATGAATGTGGCAAGAATCTTATGGCTCAAGTTAGCATAGACTTGACTTCTCTTTTCCCATTTAAAATCTAATCTGTGAGAAGAAAAAAAAAAGGTTTTCTAACTTAGTAATGCTAAACCAGGATAACAAATTTCAGAGCTACCATCATACTATCTCTTGCTCCTTAGATACATGGCAGAGATGGCCTTAAAGGGGGGTTAAACTTAAGTGCATCTCCCATTGGGGTTAGCCATGGGGCTGGAATAAGGATTGGCAAACCTGATTGTGTAGCTAGAATATGTGTCCCATTTTCCTGAGTAAACATAGTTATAAATATAGTTATTTTGGAAAGTTCTAACTTCATAAAGGTTATTCATGGCATTAGGGCCAAAGAAAAACCTTCTTTCTGGCTGCATTTCCTCTGACTCTTGGTGCTGTGATAACAGTTTTGAATGAGGATGTTAAGGGGCTGGGGATGTGGCTCAAGTGGTAGTGCGCTCGCCTGAATGAGGATGTTAAGTGAATGTTCATATGCAAGTAAGATAGAATCATCTTTTATTCATCAAAAAGACACTTGATATCAATATCACGATCCGCATGAGAATGATATATAGGTACTGTATGGAGTTTCAACTGAGAATGAGTAAGATTAATTTGTGTCTTCTTTATTAGTATTCAGCAGTCACTTACAGTTTTAGTTCCACGTGTCTGGCCTTTTTTGCATCACACTATATCATCAGTTCGAAGAGCAGCATTGGAAACTCTGTTTACGTTATTATCAACACAGGACCAGGTAAGAACTAATAACTGTATATAGCAGTCTTGAAATTTATATAAATTAATTTCATAAAATAAACCTGATCATTAGCTTTCCCTTGCTACATATTCAATGATCAGAATGTTGGGCCTGTATAGAAGAATACAATCACCATGAGGGCAGAAATATTTAAATATTTAGTTCTAATTGTATTCTTAGCACTTGGAGTAGTGCTTAACACATACAAGGTCCTCAATATTTGCTGAATGATTGACTAGCCCCTTCCTATAGGAAACCTGTTATTCAGTCTTTGCTTGCCTTGTATGGTTGATAACTGGTGATTGGCAGAACTTATCCCATGTTAGAAAGACTACATTGGAAACTTTGAAATATAGTTCTTAAAGACTGACCACTGAATTCCCATATTATTGCTTTCTCTTAAAGTTTACTCTTAAGAGTATGATATTTCCAAGGATAATATACTTGAGGAGTCGCATATTGAAATACCTACATGGATCCTTTAGGTAATATCAGTGGGTGAATGTAGTCTGTGGTGAGCTGATGAGTCCTGCCCTGTTTAAAAGGCTTCACACTCCAATTGTTAAAATAACCCCATATAGGTAAAACAAAATATCTGAGGGGAAATATCAGTAAGGAATCTATTGTTAATAGCGTGCTATATTGTACATAGTACTATAGTTTGGGCCAGTCATCTTTAAAAAAGCAGTGGTTAACTTTTTTAGGTAATAGATTATTGCATGAATAAAATGTCTCTCTTGTGTCCATTAACCATGTGTTTCCATGTGAATTAGGAATATTCTATGTAGATTTGTTTTAACCTTCAGCATGATATTGTGAACTGTGAATAAACATTTGTAAGTTGAGTTTTGCCTTATTTTGATTTTGTCTAATCAGAATCTTCTCTGTAGAAAAACTATCAGGTGTTTTATAATTCTCTGTTGATCAGGCATGGGTTGATATGACAACTGGCATGGATTGTTCTTAATTTTCATTTCATTTTTGCTGTAGTTTTATGATTTTTTTTTTTTTTGCCTAAGTATTTCTGATGTAAGCAGTCTTAAATTTACTTTAGAAAAACCTCTCAAAGCTGTCAAATCTATTCCTTCTACTTGATCTTTTTTTTTTTTTAAACATACAGATTTGATTTTTAAGAGTAATTTAGATTTACAGAAAAACTAAGGGAAAAGTAGAGTTCCCATATACCCTTACATCCCTTCTACTATCCTCACAATTTCTCCATTGTTAGTATCTTGTATTAGTGTGGTACATTTATTAAAATTGATTAGCCAATATTATTACATTATTAGCAAAAGTCATTTTACATTAGGGTTCACTCTTTGTGTTGTAGATTCTCTTTTTTTTTGACAAATATACAATAATAACATATATCCAGTTTTACAGTATCATCAGAGTATTTAAGCTGCACTAAAAATCCCCTGTACTTCTTGTTCATCCTACCTTTTCACTCCCTTAATTCCTTGCAACCACTAAATCATCTTAATGTCTTAGTTTTGCCTTTCCCAGAATATTATACAGTTGAAATCATATAGTGTGCAGTCTTTTTCATATTGACTTCTTTAACTTAGCAATATGAAATTATTGTTTCTGCTGTCTTTATGACTTGGTAGCTCATTTGTCACTGAATAATATCCCATCATATGGACATATTACAGTTTATTTATCTATTTACCTACTTTAGAACATCTTGGTTACCTCAAGTTTTTGGCAATTAGGAATAAAGCTACTACAAATGTCATTATGCAGATTTTTTTATAAGTTTTCAACTCCTGTAAGTTTCAAGGAGCATAATTGCTATATAATATAGTAACCATATATTTAATTTTATAAGAAATCACCAAATTATCTTCCAAAGTGACTGTGATTTTGCATTTTACTAGCCATGGTTTAGAGTCCCTGTTACTTCATACCCTGGCTAGCAGTTGTTTATTTTGGATCTTAACCATCCTTGTAGTTATGTAGTAGTATTTCATTGTTTTAGCAGTTTACTAATGACAGATGATATCGTACACCTTTATATGCTTATCTACCATCTGTCTGTCTTCTTTGGTGAGGTGTCCAGATCTTACCCATTTTTTAATTTTTTTTTAGTATTTTAGTTGTAGTTGAACACAATACCTTTATTTTTATTTATTTATTTTTATGTAGTGCTGAGGATTGAACCTAGGGGTTCACAGGTACTAAGAGATCATTCTACCACTAAGCCACAACCTCAGCCCCTCTTTTTTAAAATTGGGTTGCTTGTTTTATTCTTGTTGAATTTCAAGATTTCTTTTTAGCAGGGTGTGGTGTTGCACACCTGCAATCCCACCTACTTAGGAGACTGAGGCAGGAGGCCTGCTAGTTCAAGGCCAACTTGAGCAACTTAGTGAGACCCTGTCTTCAAAAAAAAAAAAAAAATGGATAGAGAGGTAGCTCAATGGTAGAGCACTTACCTAACATGCACAAGGCCCTTGGGTTCTATCTCCAATACTGTCAACAAAACAAACTTTTTGAGGGCTGGTTGTAGCTTAGTAGTATGAGACCTGGGTTCAACTCCAGCACCATAAGTGAATTAAAAAAAAAAAAAAAAAACAAACCTTTTTGATACCATCATTAATGAAATTTCCCATTGTGTCTTGCTTTTACCTTCAGAGTATCTTTTTTTTTTTTCTTTCTAGATATACATGACTGTAGGGTGTATTTTGACATGTTATACATACATAGAATAACTATTATTTGTTCAGAGTATCTTTTTACTGGGTAATGCTGTCATTGAAACTTAATACTGCTGATTATAGATCATTTTGTACTTTGTCACTGCCCTGAGTCTTCCTCAGAGTACCCTTACCACTGAAGACTGTAGCTATGGTTAATTATTCATCCTCAGTACATTCTGCTTTTGACCTTCATAAATTTCCTTTTATATCCTTTACTACTTTTGTTTGTTTGTTTTTTTTTTGTTGTTATGTTTTTTCAAATAGTAGTATAAAGCGAACCCTTAAAAAAAAATCTTTTACAACTACAACCATTATTACTTTTGCGGGGGGGGGGTTAAGTAGAGAAAAGAACAAGGAATTAAATCATTCATGTTTCATCATCCACAATTGGCATTTGTTTTAGTTTTTATCTTATTGATTTACATTATTTAAGAAAATTTAAAAATAAGTTGTAATCCTGTTTAAATATCACTTGTTTTTTAATTTACCTACTTCTTTCCTTTTACATGTTTATAGAAAATATTATCATTCTTACTCCAGTGCTTAGTTTCAATACAGTCATAGTTTTTCTGGAGGGAGAGCATTAAGTCTTTGAACAAAAATTTGGGGGAGCATAGCTTCAATTATTTGCAAAGTTGTTAGTAGTTTATCGTTGACTCTATTTTAGAATTAAATTCCTATCTTTCTTGGTCTTTAGATATCTGGCTTTTATCAATTTTAAATCTACTTTTAATCTGTTTCCATATTTATATTCAGGAGTCAATAAAATATTCCAATTCTATCTTTGTATCACAATTGTAATTATGTTATGTTCACTTGATCAGAATATCTTTGCACATGTCTGATCACTCTGCTTTTGCAACTCCCTATCCTCACCCTCACCTTACTAAATGTCAGTTCTCCTTCTGCCTCTGAGTATCCCTTCATGGAATAAGTCAAAATCTTTAGTGCCACAAATCTATTCCAACTTTAGTAACTCATTGTGATTTTTCTGTATTTAAAATATTATTTTGATAAAAGCATTAATGTGCAGTGAAAACTTAATTTTTATTTTTAATCTTGTGATCATAGCACATGTGCTAAAGATCAAAATAAACCATGTTTGAGGCAGTTACTGTATTCTTCACAAATTATCTGATACTTACTTATTGATTGATTCAATTTTATGATCTCTTACCTGCAGTTCTGAAATCCAAAACTTCTTGCAAATTGAGTTAGTTTATAAAACTATTCATTTGATTGCAAACTATACTGAATAGAGGCTCTCTACTCTTTTTTCCTTCTTAATGGGCCTATTCCTAAATTTTGCTTCAGAAATAATATGTTTCATTTAAGTACAGCCTCAGACTTATTGGGTGTTTACATTATGTACAATACATACAATATCATTATTCTAAAATTTGAAAAGTTCTGAAAAAAAATGTTTTTAACAGTGATTGAACCCAGGGGCACTTAACTACTGAGCCACATCCCCAGCCCCTTTTTTAATTTTTTTATTTTTAGATGGGGTCTTGCTAAGTTGCTGAGGGCCTCACTGAGTTGCTGAGGCTGGCTTTGAACTTTCGATCTTCCTGCCTCAGCCTCCTGAGCTGCTGATATTACAAGTGTGTGTCACTGTACCTGGCAAATTCTGAATTTCAAAACACATCTGGCACTAGGCAATTTGGATGAGAGATGTTAACCCTCTAATGTTAAAATTTATGCTTGATTTAACTTGCTTTCCATTTTCTGAGCTGCTTGCCGTTTATCTCATCCTACTATTGCTGAGTAGTTGACATTCTTATATAGAAACAATCATAAATTAAAGATTATTAAATTATTAAAATTAAATTAAACTAGAGCATTTTGTTACCACTTCAATGGTATAATGAAAAGATCCTTTAACTAAACCGAAGGATCTGTGTTCTAACTTTGACTCTACCATCTGTTGACTTCTTGACCTCAGTCAAGATTATTTAACTCTTTTTGGTTAAATCCCTATGCAGCCTTCCTCAGAATTGTATGGATTAAGTGAGATAACATATATGAAAGTGCTTTGAAAATTTTGTTAATACTATACAAATATAAATAATTAGTAGTTCGGATAGTAAAACACTAACATTTGCACTTCAAGAATTCTTTTCTTATAATTTGGTAATCTTATTTATATTCTTGGATATAGCATATTTATATAAATATTTATATATTTATGCAATATTTAAAAGTGATATTAATAATAAAATAATAATAATCTGAGTTATTATTGGCTTGTTTTATCCTAGGAGATGTGCTAAACACTGTATATGAAGTGGCTACTGCTATTTTTATTTTGCATTTGAGAGAACTGATGATCAAAGATTAAGAAACTTTCCCAAACCCATATAAGCTACACAGCTCACAGTGAGCTGCATACTTCAGATTCAGATTCAAGTCTGACATTCATCTTTTTAACCTACATTTTATATAGGGACAAAATGGATTAAGTATTGGTTGAATTGCTTTCCCATTTCTGAATATAAAGTCATCTTACATACAAAGTAAGAAATGAATCTCACTTCTGAATTATTAGTAACTGTTCTGGTTTCAGTTTTTCATGTATCCAGCTATTATTCTCAATAATTCCAGAATAATTAGGTGAGGTCAAACTTGACCCAGCATACTGCTACCTCATTAAGATTGAAGCTTCTGTTCTCTTGAAATCATTCTGATTATCTTTAGTAACTTTTTTGTTTTCCCTGATAAAATTGGAAGACTAAAAAGGAAGATGTCCATATTTTTAAATTTTGCCCATTTTAAGTATACAGGTATACACTTTTCTAAAATGTCTTTAAATAGAACCACAGTTAATAGTTCATGAAATCTTATTTTCATTATATTTCCCTGTGGCATACCATCACATCTGTGAAAATGTTTTAATTCCTGTGTCTTTATTAATGAGTAAGTTAGCATATGGAAGTGTTTTATACTCCCTAAGTGTACTCTTGGGGAGTACAAAATAGAAACTCCTAAGAAATCCAAACTGGTTTCAGTCGGTAATTACTTACAGTGAAGATGTGACTTTTTTTTTTTTTTTTTACTGTGCTATTAGCTTGGTAATCAAACAAAGGAATTTACCCCCCCCCACCCGTTGTCTCTTTAACCAGGAAATGTTGATACGTGCAATGGTGTATCTATGAATGTGTGTGTATCAGTGAACCACTGGTTTGAGAAATGAATAATGTCATGTATCCACAATTACATCAAATTACATCACAGAGAATAGTTTTATTGCCTTAAAAATCTTTTATGTTTTACCCATGTCTCTGTTCTTCTCCCTGGTTCTTTTAAATAATTATAATGTAGAATTGGCTAAAATAACAAATACAAACAAAAATTTATAGCCTGAGAAAATATCTACAGTTCGTGTTACATTTTCCTGGTTATAAATGGTGGTGATAGAAAGGAATCTACAGATGTAGCTTCTGAATCCACAAACAACTTTTTGAATTGCCATCAATGGAGTTGAGGATAGGGGAAGAGTTGGTAAATATAATGGAGAAAATCAGAAATGAAAGGAGATTATGGAGCTGGGCACAGTGACATCCATCTATAATGTAATCCCAGCTGCTTGGGAGCCTGAAGCATTAGGATCACAAGTTCAAGGCTAGCCTTAGCAACTTAGTGAGACCTATCAAAAACAAAACCACGAGAGAGAGAGTATGAAAGACTAATAATACTAAGTTATCTGTATATCACTATTACTGTTTTTCTAGTTGTCTTTAATTCTCTCTGGTGAAAAAATAGAAATTTATTTTCTTCCTACCTTTCCTTCAAAAAGAAGAATTATAGTTTACCAACTTAGTAAATATACTCACCCGGTTGATGATTTTTGTAAGTTGTTTTAAACTTTTCTTAAACCATAATGAGAAGGTGAAGCCCAGGTCCTATATTTGTCATTAGTTTTTCACTGGCTAGAAAATGATAGGTAGCTTTTTAAGTTATGCACATACTATCATTGGAACTTGTGTTTCTGGAATTTCAGTTAAAAGTATCAAATTTCTCTTCGGTTTCTTCCAGACACTGTATTTTTTGTGTTCAGAAAGTTATGATGTGGTTTGGATGATAGGTACTGTGAACTAATTTATTTGATTTTTCTGGTGTTTCTGGTCTTGTTACGAGTTTGTAATTATTTGAATAGCATTGAGAATATGTATAGTTCCTTGTGTTGAGAATTCTGGATACATAATAGGTATTTGGTTACATACTTTTTGGCTACTGGATTTAGGTAGGCTTTTGAAATGTTGAAATCCCTTAGCTTAAGGTTTTTAATCTAGTTTTGAGGAGACATTTGAACCTCTGATATTGGAAACAAAATTATATACCAAAGTATATACATAATGTGTGTTTTTCTAAGAAAAGAGTGGGCCTAATAGCTTTCATCAGATTTTTGAGATGTCCCTTACCTGAAATAGATTAAAAACTTTTTTTTTGGTAGTGAATGCAAAGTACAATTTTCTAAATTGGGTGTTATCTTAAAACTTATTACTTGTATTACTAGTGAGCACATAGAACTTAAACTCTGATCATCTAGCACAGCAGCAATAACCTGTTATTCCAAATTTTCTGAAAATGCAGTGGTGTATGATATAACCAAGGAGAAACTTCTGGTTACTGCTTGGTTCTATATGGAGGATAATTTCACCTTATTTGAGTGTTAATAATTTTTTTTTTTTTAGCTCCCCAGTGATTGTATTCTATGTAATTTCTCCACCTTTGGAATAACAAATATAATATTTGTTTTCTCTCAAGCTTATCAAATTCTATCACCAGCTGAACATTTTTGATAAAGCCATGTGATCTTTTCATGACAATACTTAGCTTATTTGACTTATATTTCAGATAAGCTGACAACAAAGAATTAAACACTATACCTTTGATTCTGTTTTTATTTTCAGAATTCTTCATCTTGGCTTATACCTATACTGCCTGATATGCTTCGACATATTTTTCAGTTCTGTGTTTTAGAAAGCAGCCAGGAAATTCTGGATCTCATTCACAAGGTACAATGAATATATCTTTATCCCTCTTTCTATAAATTTTGTAGATTTTTTTAAAGCTTTTCATAATTTCTGTACTATGGATCTGAGATTTTTAAGAAATTAAAAGTCATCAAGAGACTTGAAAAGTCTAGCAGTCTTTATAATGAGACAGGAAAGTAGGTTTCTTGTGCAATGTAATAGTTAAGTTAGCCATGCTTCTTCACTTTTTTTTCCCCAATTTTAGAGAATAATACAATATGAACTATTTTAGTTTCTCTTAACATGTAAGGCACTGCCTCAAAATACCTTTATACCATTTTTTTAAGTATTGCACAATATAGGTACAAAACTAATATTTATTATTACATTTTCTTACATAACATATAGTAAAAATCTTTAAACCTTTAAGAGAAAAAATATATTTTTGAAAAAGCCGATATTTGTACATTTTTAATTCTACCAGTAAAGGAATACCCTGTACATATTTTTAGAATAGTGGATATCTTTAAGATGGATACTTAAATTTCAGTTTAAAAAAAAAATACAAAATGAAGCTGCTGCTGTCACAGATCACTGTACTAAAAAGATATAAATGCTACACCATGTCATAGAAACAATATATATATATCCTCCGTTATCTTACAAACTTTATGTTAAATCATATAATTAGAAAAGACCAATAAACCCACTTATTAATGCTGATTTTTTTATTTGAAAAAATTAGTCATGTCCTTGCTGTATCTTAAATACTATAAGAAGCCATATCTGAGAGTATACTTTAAAATACATAGTCAGTGTAAAATAACTTTGTGCTTGGTTGGTAAATGAGAATTGATGCATGTTTTATTTCTGTAACCAAGCTTGAATGTGTACTTTAAGCTTAAAAAAAAAAAAAAATCTCAAGGAGGTGAAAAAGTCCCTTTGGGCCTGTGCATTTTAATTTGTACGATACACCTTTTTTTTTTTTTTTTTAAAGTTAGCCATAACAAGCTGGAATTGTGGTTAGAATAGTGCATGTTATTTAAGCTAAAATTCAAGCCATTGACAAAAGATTTCTTATTCTGCTTTCTTATTTTGTGACCTTTAAGGCTTTGTTTTAAGCACTTTCTGAAAGCCTTAATACAGAAAATAAAACAGGGAAGACTGATTTTGCTGTTTATAGTATGCTTATAAGATCCAAGTATTTTTGGGGGGTGATTTTGATAGTATGGAAAGTCTTAATTATAATAGTTTAGACTTGTACTTTTTTTAAATTAGCAAGGTTAGTCATATGTGTTGAAGTCTTAAAAGGAGGAGACATTTGCTATATTTAATAGCATTTGTGGGGGAAAATGGCACTTGTATCTTGAGGATTTGTTTTGAATTGTTAGTCTCTGAGGTAACTAGCTCATTTTAGACTTTTAAAAGTGGAGTTATTTCTGCATGCTGGTTCTAGCCAATTTAATGTTAGGCATCAATAAAGATACTGAGTAAGATCATGAATTGAGACTTACACTGCTTTTAATTCAACTAGGATATTACCACTTTAAAATTTAGCAGTGAATACTTATCCAGAGCTATTATCTGTTAATGTGTTTTCTTGAATATAATATTGCATTTGTATCAATCCCTATGATGCATGAAAAGAATTATAGTGACTTAATGAGACAACTCTTACTTTATGGCTAATTTTATTTTAAAGTTTTCCATAAAATATTGGAGAAGGCTCTGTTTTCCTTTTTTTAAAAAAATCAACTTTCATTACTTCTTGTAGTATATAAACCCATCCAAAAACAGAATTTCAAAATAAGCCTCTGTTGAGTTTTAAAATTAATATGTGTGCCATTTCTACTTTTTAAATTTTTATTCAGTATCCCTAAGAATAAATATTAGGTTTTGTTAGTACTTAACAGGAAAGTTTCATGTTCTTTTTACTTTATAGGTTTGGATGGAACTCTTGAGCAAGGCATCAGTTCAGTATGTGGTAGCAGCTGCTTGCCCATGGATGGGTGCTTGGCTTTGCTTAATGATGCAGCCTTCTCACTTACCTATTGATTTAAATATGTTGCTAGAAGTAAAAGCTAGAGCCAAGGTAAGTGTAGAGAGACACATGTATTTCTATATTCAACTTAATTTTTTTTTTTTTTTTTTTTTTTTGGGAGCCACTGAGGATTGAACACAGGGTCTTATACATGCCAGGCAGGTCCTCTACCCCTGAACAATATCCCCAGTCCTCAATATAGTAACCATGTAGGAAATTCATATTATTTTATTATTAACAGCAAAAATTAATTTAGCATTTGTAAGGAGAAATTGTTTTTTATTAGGACCATGATAAGGTTGAATAGTAATTTTTATCCATTAAAATGTTATGAAGTGGGGCTGGGGATATAGCTCATTTGGCAGAGTGCTTGCTTGCCTTGCATGCACAAGGCCCTGGATTCAATCCCCAGCATCACTAAATAAAATAAAGGAGACTGCATATTTAAAAAAAATAGTAATAATGTTGTGAAGTGTATTTTACTGTGGTTATTTCAATATTTTTGTTGTTGCCAATTAAATTTTTATGTTTAACCTTTATTGTTTTTTGTTTTTGTTTTTTCTTTCTTTTCTGTAGGAAAAAACAGGTGGTAAGGTACGTCAAGGCCAAAATCAAAGTAAAGAAGTACTTCAGGAGTATATTGCAGGTGCAGACACCATCATGGAAGACCCGGCCACAAGGGATTTTGTAGTTATGCGGGCCAGAATGATGGCAGCCAAGTGAGTATACACCAAGTGTTGAATAATTTATAGGTCTGGCCTGACAGATTAGCTCTCATGGGGAGAGAGAAAAAGAGACCCTAACTAGATGAAGACTTAGATTTATGAGCACTATCAGCCATGATTGTCTTTAGTTTAAGAACAAAACCTTCAGCATACAGATCAAGTAGAACAAAAACACATTCAGTTGAAATGTTACCATAGTCAAAGACTTATATAGTGTGCCCATAGCTGAATTATGGCTAGACTGCTTAACCAAAAAGAAACTTTCTAAACCCCAAATATCAAAAGTAATTAACATGGGATTTGATTTCCACAAAGGCTTTCCTGGGAACCTGCACTTTTCTTCCCAGGAAAATCCTATATATAGTCACAGATGTCAACCCTGGGTGTGTCACTTTTCTTCTCTGATTTGAGAGGTGAGCAGCGTCTGCAGCCTGCCTTAGGAATGTATAAGGCTTTGCTTGTGCCTTACTTTCATGTATCCTAAAATTTTTTCTCAGCAGGGTGAGTCAAGAACCCACCTGGGCTAAGTTGAGGTCCCACTGTCCCCTTAGAGGGAGTCCCTCAGACCCGTGTCCCAGGACAGCCTCCGAAGTCATTTAAATGAAAGATTCCTCTCATGTATCTGTTAATCCTTCCTCTATCACACTTGTTACAGCCTATGAAAAACTTAGAGCAAGTAAATATTTTTTTTTTCCATTTTAAAAATAGAATTTATATCTATTTATAATGATAAGATAGGAGTGAAATCTACTGGAAAATATATGGCTTCATTGGGAGAAATTTTATTTCAGGTAATTTCTATAGTAACTTCTTTTTTCTCCCTTTTAGATTGTTAGGAGCACTTTGTTGCTGTATTTGTGATCCCGGTGTAAATATGGTAACTCAAGAAATTAAACCAGCTGAATCCCTTGGCCAGTTACTACTCTTCCATCTCAACTCCAAATCTGCCTTACAAAGAATTAGTGTTGCTTTGGTAATCTGTGAATGGGCTGCTTTACAAAAGGTAAGATTTTTTCCTGAAAATAATAAAGACAAATTATGTGAACTAATTTCCATTAGCTGTTAGGATAATTTATATTTTACAATATGAAAGTGAAATTTTTCTCTAATAGGATCCAGCAATCATAGAAAAAGTATTCCAAACTATATTGAACATTATTTGATTCTCATTTACCTTTAACCATAACATTTTTCTTAACATTTCTACCCATACCTGAGACTAATAGGCATGCCCATAATTAATATTTGTTTTTGACCCCGCAGTCTATTAAGAAAGGTCCCTATCAAAAACATGGGTATATATGGAAGCAGTCCAGAAACTGGGTTGTATGTATGCAGTTGGTCATTCATTCTTGTATATATCTCATAGTACTAAAACTACAAAAAGCTGCTTTGTGTTTTAGAGCTCTATTTGAATGGGTAGTAGCAAGGGCAGAATTTTAGTCAGAGGAGAAATCTCTCCATATTTAAACCCAGATCTTCATGTATCAAACAAATCATTCTCTTTTAGCCCCTTTAACCTTTAACTTATCATAAGATGTATGATTTTATGTAAGACTTGTTTCTGGAAATTTAACTGTCTGCACTTGCTGTGAGAGTTGCTTGTTACTGCCTCTTAGCAGTGTGTCAAAACTGTGTCTAAAAGTAATTGAGCCATGCTCTATTGCAACTGAGACCCCTGCTTTGCCTCTGGAAAGAAGCAAGGCTCATCTGTTTTTAGGCAGGACTCGGTGTGCTGGAGAGGCAGTGATGCTGTGTTTTTGTGCCTCTCAGACTCAGCAGCAAGTGTTGACAGTTCGGTTTCTGGACCCTCACAGAGCTTCTCTGGATTTACTCTGTGAAGCCCAGGCTGATCACCCAGATCCCACAGAACCCCTCATGGCTCACCACTGAGGCTATTCCCCCTCTGGTTGGGGCAGGCAACAACCAGAGAGAGTGGGAAGGGTTAGTTAAATTTGGGGGCAGGTAAGTAGCTTTTAAATTATATATCCATTTTTACAGTATGGCATGTAAAGCTGTGGTCTAAACTGTTAAGAAGTCTAATAATGACTTTAAGTAATATTTTTAGTTAGTGCATGCCAAATGTTTTCTTGACTTATTTTTAAGAAATTTTTATAGTAATGTACTTTTAAATCTGTGCTATATTTATGTAAACATCAAATAAATTCAGTACAGTAAGAGTAATTAAGTAAAATAAATTTTGAAGAATTATAATAATTCCACATGCATGTTCTGTAGTCATTCATATTAAAATTTTAGAGCAGTTTGGGTATAATACCTTTCTCTGTGCAATTAATTATTGTTCTGAGAGAAAACAACAGATTAAAAAATCAGTAGAAATTTAGAATTTGGTAGCTTTTAAGTGAAGATTTATATAACTATAAAATTATGTTTATATATTTGCCCTGAATATTTGTTGTCTATTATATTTTTAGGAATGTAAAGCTGTTACCCTAGCTGTGCAACCACGTTTACTTGATATCCTTTCAGAACATTTATATTATGATGAAATTGCTGTTCCATTCACACGAATGCAGAATGAATGTAAACAGCTTATATCATCATTAGCTGATGCACATATTGAAGTTGGTAATAGAGTAAACAACAACGTTTTAACTATAGATCAAGCTAATGACCTGGTGAGTAAAGAAGTAACTCTCTTCATTTTAGAGCATGAAATAAAGATTAGAAATTTGTCATAGCATGTTTGTCACAAAACCACATATTTTGTTGTATCTGTCTGTGGCCTGGTAGCCTCTCATCTCAACTCTAGTTTATTTCATGTGTTGACTTTTCTTGGAGAATGGGGAAAAACTTTCTTTTTTTTAAACTGTATTTTTTCCCTTCTTTTTCTGTGTTTTTTTTTTTTTTGTTGTTGTTGTTATTATTGTTTGTATTTGGGTTTTTTTGTTATTGTTGTTTTGTTTTGTTGGTAGTACAGGGCCTCATGCATGTCGGCAAGCACTTTACCTCTGGGCTACATCGCCATCCCTTTAAACTCAAATTCTGACAAACCAATGTACCTTTATTCAAAAAAGTTGTTACATTTTGTTGTTTCCTAGTCTTGCTTGTGAAGGGAAAAATATAGGAAAAACTTTAACAAATCCCTAAATATTTCTTCTCCCTGCTCCCAACATTAAATGAAAATGGAAATTCAAACATACTTTAAAAAGTAAAGAATTCATACAACAAACATTATATACTCAGCAATTAGATTGTGCCGTTGACATTTGACAAATACATATTTGAATTATCACGTATATATTCAAATATCTACCCTTCTTTCCAAACCACCAATCCATCTTATTTTTTAATGTATTTCTAAGTAAATTTCAGATATTTGTACACTTTAGTGTGTAAGTGCTCAGTCTTAGGTGAACATTAGATGAATTTTCACAGATACATATGACTATAAAATCCAAACCTTGTCAAGATAGAAATTCCCATCACTACTTTGTAGTCAGTCCCTTCTTCTCCTTGTCCCTAAGTAACCATTCTTTACCTCATGGTAAATTAATTTTGCTTGTTCTACAATATCATATAAATGTAATTATACAGTGTGCTCTGAAGGGTTATTTGTTTCGTTTTGTTTGGTGTACTAAGGATTGAACCTAGAGGTGTTCTACCACTAAACTATATCCCCAACATGTTTTAATTTTTTTTTGAGACAGGGTCTCATTAACTTGCCTAGGCTGGCTTGAACTTGGTATCCTCCAAGTTATCCATGTTGTGTGTATTAGTAATTCATTTGTTTTATTACTGCATTTTATGGCATCGTATGAATATTTCAAAACTAGTTTAAGCGATTCTCCTGTTGATAGACATGGGCTATCGCCAGTTTGAGGCTATTGTGAGCAAAGCTTCTGTAAGCTTTTTTAATACACATTTTTTTGGTAGACATGTATTTTCATTTTTCTTTGGTAAATATATGTGAGTGGAATTGCTGAATCTTAAGATAGTTGCCTTTATTTTTTTGGAAAACTACATAGAGGATAGGGGTATGGCTGAGTGATAAAGCTAGGTAATACCCACCACTGCAAAAACCTAAAATTAAATTTAAAAAACTCAGACTTCCCAAAGTGGTTGTATCATTTTACCTCCTAACTAACAAGGTGTGAGAGTTTTGGGTGCTCTACATCATTAATAACATTTAGTATAATGAGCCCCTTTAACTTTAGCCATTCTGTGGTTGTGTGATGATGTCATTGTGGTTTTGAGTTTCATTTTCTTTGTGACAAATTATATCTTTATTGGCCATTTCTGTATCTTCCTTTCTGAAATGTCTTCAGATCTTTTGTCTACTTTTAGTTGTTTCTTATTGAATCATAGGAGTTCTTTATAATCCTGGATACCAATTCCTTGTCAGATAGATTTAATCTGAATAAATTTATCAGTTGTTTCCTTGATTATGATTTGTGATCTAAAGAACCTTTTCCTATCTCCAAATAGTGAAGGAATTTGCATACATTTTCTTCTAAAGCTTCATAGTGTTAGCTTTCATGTTTAGATTTGTCTTCCATCATCATCATCATTATTTGTACAAGGGATTAAACCCAGGGGCACTTAATCACTGAGCTATATCCCCAGCCCTTTTAAAATATTTTATTCAGAGACAAGGCTGAGGCTGGCTTTGAACTTGCAATCCTCTTGCCTTAGCTTCCCCAGCCATTGAGATTACCAGTGTGCACAACCACGTTCGGTTCTTCTGCCAGTTTTTAGTAGTGCTGTGGATCAAACCAAGAGCCTCATATGTGCTAGCCAAACACTTTGTACCACTAAGCTACATCCCTAGTGATCTATCTTGAATTAATGTTTGTGTATAGTATGAAGTCAAGGTTGTTTTTCTACATATATCTAGTTTTCCTAGCATCATTATTAGGAGATTTTTTTCTGTTGGATTGCTTTGGCATCTTTGTAAAAAATCAACTGAAGAATGTATGTGGATCTGTTATCTGAATCTTTGTGCCCAATATGTTTGTATCTTCCTGACCAACACCAGTGTCTGATAACTACAGCTTTGTACTTAGTTCAGTCTGTGAGTTCAGTTAGTATAAATTAGTTATTCCTGGGTTATAGAATTGAGAAATTGAGCTACTTGTTTGTGTTTGGCCTCATGAAATAATGTTTCTTTCTTTCTTTCTTTTTTTTTTTTTTTAAGAGAGAGAATCTTTTTTGTAGATGGACACAACACAATCCCTTTATTTTTATGTGGTGCTGAGAATCGAACCCAGGTCCCGCCCGTGCTAAGCGAGCACTCTACCACTGAGCCACAATCCCAGTCCAAATGTTCATTTCTTAATCCCCTTTCTGACTGAAAAATACTGTAGTTGAATTTTTTTTTTCTCACTTATGAGAGAAAGCTAAACTTGTTATTTCTGTACCCAAGTTGTTCTTTGGTAAAGTTTTCTAAATGTCTAGAGTTAAAATTCCTCAAAGTTTCTTTATAATTACATTTCCTTCCTACTATTTCTGTAAACTTATTGAAGTTTCAAATATCCTCCTTCTTCAAGAAGGACCCCTTATTTCCCAGTGAAATTACTATTCAATTTCATCATTCTAGTGGTTTCATCTTGGGGCAGGAAATAGCATAAATATCAGAATCTCTAGAAGAAAGTATTTAGGGATGGGTAATTTTAAAAGGTAAAAGTAAGAGCCACTATCTTTTATATCTTTTATTGGATCCCTGTTTTCCTCTTAAATGCCAGATAGGGGCATTTACCTGATATAGGCATTTCTGTCTTTTCCTCTCTAACCAGTCTCTTAATTTAGTTCTTATCCATATTATCTTTTCTCAATCATGTGCAATATTGTCTACTCTTAATCTTATGTTCTTTTGTTAAGCACTTTTATTTGGATTATTATCTCATTGCCACTTCAGAGTAACCAAAAGTGGGATTTTTCTTTCAGAAAGTCTCATGTTTATCATTTCTCTGTTTGCATTTTCAAAGTCTAAAGGCCTTGACATTTAGGTCTGATTCTACCTCCAGGCAGTTTCTGGTCCATTTCATCCTTCATGCTTTGCTAAACTAGTATTAATCCTTTTGTGCCACTCTGTATCCCTTTCTTCCTTAAAAATGGTTTCCTTTCCCTTGCTTTTTAGTCTCGCTCCCGCCTACTCTCATTACCTTCTCTAGATACCCCATCTCTTTTCTCATTACTTTTCAAACTTCTGCCAAACCTGGTTAGCTTTCTTTTGCAGAAATAACATCACACACAGTGTTTTCTGTGCCTCACTCAGTCTCACTTCTATGCCTGAGTTCCTGGTCCTTTGCCAGAAGTTCTCTGCCTCAACACTGTACACTCACCTAGAGTTCTTTTCTTGATACTTCTCCATTTGCACCTATATTCAAGCAATGATAAACTTTCTTCAGTTCCTTAGACAGTATCCTGCCTTCCACCTCTTACCTCACTTCATCCGTTTACAAAGATGTATATAACTCCTGACTTAACCATTCTTTAAGCCAATCCAAAAAGCTAGGTGTGGTGCAATACACTTATAGTCGCAGCTACAAGGCAGTGGGTGGGTGCTGAGGTGGGAGGAATCCTCAAGCCTTGGAGTTCAGGCAAGCTTGGAAAACAGAAACATCCCACCTAAAAATAAAATAATTAATAACTAATTTTTAAAAAGGAAAGACTTGGAAAAGTGTTAACTGCCTCTGGCAAGTCTTTCCTAAGCTCCTCTGCTAAGAAAGTTTTTTTGTTTGTTTTAATTTTCTTTTGGTAATTGTAGATGGACAGACTGCCTTTATTTTATTTGTTTATTTTTATGTGGTGCTAAGGATTGAACCCAGTGCCTTACACATTCTAGGCAAGCGCTCTGCCACTGCTAAGAAGTTTTAAGTGACTCTCTGAACTTTCATAGCAACCTGCCCTTGCCTCAGTGATATGTTATGTTGTCTTAATTCTTTATTTATATTTCCCATCTCTGCATTTTTAGGGTATGTTAAGACTGTGTCTTATTCATCTTTTAGCACCTGATAGTAAATATTGTTTAAATGATTGAATTAATTGCGGGTGATTAGCTTTTCCTTGATTGCCTACAATCATTGGATGTTGTGAAAAATAAGCATAGTGTACTTTGGACAATATTTGAAAATTTTTAGCAGTGTATCCTGTTTCAGATAATTCTTGCGCAGAACTTAAAACAAACAATGGAGTAGAAAGTATGAGCTAGGAATGGTATGTGGTGTGTGTGTGTGTGTGTGTGTGTGTGTGTAAGTGTGGTGAGCAGATTGACAGTGAAACTGATATAGTTTACTTAGTCTTAAGCATTTTATAGTGATAAAACAAGATCTTATTTGTGTGCCTATTTTGTTTTTTATAATAAATAGCATTATTGATATTGTCCACAATGAAATTAATAATTTCTAAGTATTAAAAATTAGATTTGCTGGGCATAGTGTTGCACACTGTAATCCCAATGACTCAGGAGGTTGGAGAACAAAAAGGGCTCTCCATTAAAAAGAAAATAGATTTAAAATTTTCCAATGTTATATAGGCTTTTCTTGTCAATAAGGATCTATCCCTGCAAGCTTTTAATAATTGCTATAACCTATCTATCAAGAGTTTTTGTTATATGCGCCCATCACACAATCTCTATGTATGTGAATGTTCACAGCAACATCATTCATAATAGCCAAAAAGTAGGAAAAACCCATCAGTAATCAATTGATGATTGAATATAGTATATAAGTAAAAATTATCATATGAAGTATTATTTGATCAAAAAAGGAAATATTGATACAATGCTAAAACATTTGTGAACCTTGAAGGCATAATACTAAATGAATGAAATAAGTCACAAATGACTACATATTTTATGAATCCATTTATATAAAATTTACAAAATAGACAACTTTGGAAAGACAAATCAGATAAGAAGGTTCCATAGGGCTGGGGAAAAATGAGGAGTGTTTGCTAGTGAGTATGAGTATTCTTTATGAACTTATGAAAATATGTTCTAAAATTTTGATTCATAACTATGAGTATACTAAAAATGAGTGAATTAAATGCTTCAGATGGGTTACTTTTATGGCATAAGAACTATATCTCAGTAAAGTTGTTTTAAAAAAATGGACTGAACAGTCGTTAATGAGGTTTGTAAAGTTGTCTGGAACAGCAGTCAACTTTATCTAGGTAATTAAACAAATAATGGCTGTTGGATTTTTCTCCCCTCTCTCTTTTGTTGCCTGAACATTTCAAAGAAAGAATGAAAATAATTCAATTAGCATTACTTAACCACTTTGTAAACAGCTACCCTAAACATTTTTTAGTTAGAATATTTTTCCCAAGAAGTTTTTAAATTTTGATATTAACAGTTTATATTTACATATATCTGTATTTGCATATTGCTTTCTCATTATGTCACCAAAGCACACTATAAGTGTTGAATGTAATTTTCCCCTCAAACAGATTAGATATATTTAAAGGATAAGAAATTTTATTCATCTCAAAAGAATGTGTCTTTCTTCAGGAATATAATGTTAATGTTAAGTTAGCTAAGTAAACTTTAGTTGGGAGGTTTTAGGTATTTGTTAGTTTACTGAGTACTAAAAAACAATATTAGATAATAAGGAACTTTTGTGAAACAGAAAACTTGCTGTCTGCTGTTTAGGAGTTTATAGTCTATTTGGGGTTGATGTAATTAATGAGTTTTTATTTCTTTTTTTTTTATTAGGTCACTACTGTTTTTAATGAAGTCACATCAACTTTCGATTTAAATTCTCAAGTATTACAGCAATTAGATAGTAAACGACAGCAGGTCCAAATGACAGTTACAGAGACAAACCAAGAGTGGCAAGTGTTGCAGTTGAGAGTGCATACTTTTGCTGCATGTGCAGTTGTGAGCTTGCAGCAGCTTCCGGAGAAATTAAATCCTATCATAAAACCACTAATGGAGACGATTAAAAAAGAAGAGAATACACTAGTGCAAAACTATGCAGCTCAGTGCATAGCTAAACTTCTTCAGCAGTGCACAACAAGGACACCCTGTCCCAATTCAAAGATTATTAAAAATCTCTGTAGCTCACTTTGTGTGGACCCATATCTAACTCCTTGTGTAACATGTCCAGTACCAACACAAAGTGGCCAGGAAAATTCTAAAGGTATATATCTAAACCTTTATATGGGGTAGAGAAGGAATTAACTATTTAAATTTGTTTTCATTTACTTATATCTATCATTCATGTTAGAGCCATTTTCTCCATATTCCATTCTGAGAAAACAGTTTGGTTACAACAAAATTCCTTGTTACTTCAATTAGCTAATCAATTACAACCCTCTTAAATAAGCCAGTCATAAGAGACCTGATATCTGATATAAGGTGACTGAAGTCCATTGAGACAGGTATTCACCCTTACCTTCATCTTGAAAACCATCATTGTATGACTTAATAGACTAGAAAACAGTTGTATCAAATGTTGATGAAAGTTCTTCCTATTGTATATTGTTTTCTAAATTTAGTCTTTCATGAGATTGAACTCTGTTTAGTAAATAATGCTTAACCAGTTTTTCTATTTTCTTTTGGAGAATTCATGTGGAAAATAACTACTTTTAGTAGTCTGGTATCAAAGACCAGTGTTTCTTCACATTTCTCATCCTATATGACTTATATTTTTTATTAATAAGATTTTAGGAAAACAAAACAAATTATTGAAAATGTAATAGATTTGCTACTTTGGTGCTATCAAAAAGCGATCTGAAAGAAGAATATGAACATTTGGAATATTAACATAAAAATACAAGAGGGTTATCATCTTTTCCCTCTCCTTTATTATATGAGGCAGGAATATTCTGCAGTGGTCAAGTTTTCCTGAATTCATGGGGACATGAACATTATTTTAGAGGAAACTTGCTTGAGTTATTTTTAATGTTTCTTTTTGTGCCTAGGCACAACCATTCTTGCATGTGATATTTCTCATTGTTCACATGATTCTACAACTTTGTGTTATAAAACCTATGCAAGTAGATATTTTTGTTGCCATTTCATTGTCTAAAAAAAAAAACATGTCATTAGCTTATAAACATTGAGGCCTTAAAGGGCTGTGTCTCATTTGGAGCAGAGAACTTTTGGTTACCTATATTATGATTAAAAGGCTAATTTTTTTCCTTATTAGGACCCAACTCAGAAAAAGATGGAATGCACCATACTGTAACCAAGCACAGAGGTATAATTACACTCTATAGGCATCAGAAAGCTGCTTTTGCTATCACAAGTAGGCGAGGTCCTACCCCGAAAGCAGTAAAAGCTCAAATAGCAGATCTTCCTGCCGGAAGTAGTGGGAGTATCCTTGTCGAACTTGATGAGGTAAGTAGATTTTTTTTCTTTTGAATGTTTTGATTTTAAAACAGATATCTAGCTTATACATTGAGAACTAAGTTGTCATGTCAGGTTCCAGAACTGTATTTTTGTACTTATAAATGAAAGGACTAGTATTAATAGCTTTTTGGAGTACTCTAGCAACATGGTCCAGGAAAATAAGCTATTTAAATTTCTCATGTGTCTTATAATTTTTACCAGCCTAACTTTACCTTCCTAGGCAAGAAACCCTCTTGATGGTGGGTACATAAGCTATTTATAAATATATAAACGAATTCACTCCCATAGTATTGACTACAAAGAAGATATTAAACAAGAGTAAAAAATAACTTCTCAGTCTTATTGATATCCAGAATTTCTTTTGATATTCAGACAGTAGTTTTACAAATGTGAGATCATCACTGCCCACCTGACTTTTGGTTAACTTAGAATTTATTAAATGTGTGATATGAGAATAGGGATCTAAACAGTATGCAAACAACCAGTTATCCCACTTTTGAAACCTTTCTTCCTTGATTTATAATGGGCCCTTTGTTATATATCATGCTTTTCATTTGCGAGGACTTATTCTGACTTTCCATTCTGTACTGTTGGTCTCTCTGTTATTTATTACTAACTTCTTTAAAGACAAATAATAACTAATGATAAGTGTTTTGTTTAGAAAATTTGATTCACATTATTAACAATGAAATGAATCTAAACAGTTTTGATCGCAATATGGGGGAACTTACCTGGGTTCAGCAGTAAACTATTGATGCTAAAAGACAGGCGTTTGTAAAATATAAGCCTATTTTTAATTTGTTTTAAAAATCATCATCTTAAGTTATTGTCTATATATCTTGTCGAATACTCTATGAATGTTGTCAGGCATAGTGGTGTACATTGTAATCCTAGCAACTTGGGAGGCTGAGGCAGGAGGATTACAAGTTCATGGCCAACCTCAACAACTTATCAAGGCCCTAAAGAACTTAGTAAGACCTTGTCTCAAAATAAAAAAGGGCTGAGGATGTAGCTCAGTCAGTACCCCTGTGTTAAATCTTTGATTCAAAAAAAAAAACATAAACAAAATTGTGTGAAGTCTTTTTCATTGGTTATATCTCACCATAATAGTTTCCATCAAAATTTTACTGTGATTTTGGTATTTATTCCTCCGTGGGTTACAAAGCTCTTCTAATACTTTATAGCTTTTTTTCTTTTTTTGCAGTGCTGGGGATCAAATGAAGGGCCTTGCACATGCTTGGCAAGTGCTCTACCACTATCCCAAACCCTTCCTTCATCTTAAAGTAATTAAAAAATATGTATATATATTTCTTTTGTGGGGGAGATGGTCTTATATGGACTGTAATTATTGTTGAATATGATATTATCAATCTTGCAGTTAGCTGAACATGTCTTATTATGTCCTTTACATGAATATAAATAAGGATATATCATTTCATCTTTCTTCTAACTGCTAAATTTCTTTGGGATAGGGAAAAGAAGAAGATAAAACAAAGAAAAAAAAATGTCACTTAGGACTATCTCTAAAAGCAGCACATATCCTTTAATTCCTTATCCCTGACCCTACAAAAGTATTTTAGTTTGGATACACAAATCTAGTTAGGAGGTTTAGTCCTATGTATTTTAATTATTGGAAAATGTTTATGGTTGTCATAATTGTGTCTAATAATTGCTTCATTAGTTAATGAAGCACTGTAAATTCTTTAAATTCTCTTGATAAAATTTTAAATTTATTATGCTTTTTTCCTGAAATTATGTTTTCAACTAATATTTAATTTTAGGCCCAAAAGCCTTACCTGGTACAACGGAGGGGAGCTGAATTTGCCTTGACAACTATAGTGAAGCATTTTGGTGGTGAAATGGCAGTGAAATTGCCACATCTCTGGGATGCTATGGTTGGCCCACTGAGGAATATAATTGATCTAAATAATTTTGGTATGCATATGTATTTTATGAGTTCCATTTTTAATACATTTCAGTGTCTATCAATTAAATATATCTTTGTAAAATAAAAATACCTATTTCTGTTTATCCCAGACAACTGTAAATTTTAAAAATTGGAAATTTGTTAAAAAACATCGTAATTTATTTTAGCCAGGTGCAGTGGCACATGCCTGTAATCCTAGTACCTCAGGAGGCTGAGACAGGAGGATCATGAGTTCAAAGCCAGCCTCAGCAAAAGTGAGGCGCTAAGCAACTCAGTGAGACCCTTTCTCTAAATAAAATAGAAAATAGGGCTGGAAATATAGCTCAGTGGTTTAGTACCCCTGAGTTCAATCCCCAGTACCCCCCCCAAAAAAAAAAAATTTTTTTTTTCTCTTCTGTTTCTAAAAATAGATCTAAATAGATCATTATTATTAACTTCTTTTTTTGCTCTGAGTGCAGAACCCCAGCACTTAAATTAAGGTCATGGCATTTTAACATGAAACGTAAAATTGACTACTAGCTGAGAGGTGCTAAAAATTGTGTGTGTGTGTGGGGGAAGGTTGAGATTTTGAAAAATTAACTTGCAAAGTGATATAGACTTTTAATATATTTGAATAGATGGAAAATCCCTCCTGGAAAGGGGAGATGGACCTGCTCAAGAATTGGTGAATTCTCTGCAAGTTTTTGAAACATCAGCAGCTTCAATGGATTCCGAGCTTCATCCCTTGGTAACTTAACTAATGCAGATGTAAAATTTCTTCACATTGAACAAATGATCTTACTAAAACATCTTAAGACTTGAAAAATGCAACTTCATGTCATCCCCAGTAATTGCAGTTTTTTTTTTTTTAAATACAGTATTATTATATTTCTTCTTTGCTGACAGCACAGCTCTTGTGGGCTTTGTGAGCTGGGATACATGAATGGTAGAAATCTCAATCTGGAAGCTTAGAATATAGGGCATTACAGAAAGGGCTGTAGTGCCGCAGAAACCAGATATAAACGGGAAGGAAAGTCAGTATCGCTGCTCAAACCATCCCAATAATATACCTCCAAGAGAGGAAAAACGCAGGTAATAAAGCTTGTTCCCAAGATAAATATAAAGGTAGAAGGAAATCACCTAAACCACAGCTGGTCAGTGTCAAAGATAGAACACTGGTTTGTGACTTTACTGTTATATTTCTTACAAAAGAATTGGAACAGGAGGAGGAGGAGGAAAATTAGTTATGTGTTTTTTCTATAGAAGAGAGTGTTATTCTTTGCATATACCTACATTAGGAAGGTCTTTGCAATTGTACCATTGTGAAGGACATTAGCTCCAGTTCTCTATTGTTAGCTAACACAAAGATTCATAAAAGTGAATCTAAGAGGGAGTAGAGAAGAATGAAGATTTTTGTTCATGTAGTATAAAGTATGTTCTTTTACTTGATAAAATTTTGTTAATAAAGTGGGTACAGTGGTGTGTACCTGTAGTCTCAACTTCTCAGAAGGCTGAGGCAGAAGGATCACTTGAGTTGTCGTAAAAAATTTATCATTAGTAAAGAAAGACAGAATCCATCTGTATGCTCTTACCCTCATGATTAGCAAACATTCATTCAGCTGATCTATAAGGCTGTTGTAACTGTTGAGCAGGTTCTTGACTGTCATCATTAATCTTAGTGTTCCCTGCAGCAAGCATTTAATAATAGGATGTTATTGTTATCACAATTATAACGCGATAATTTCTACCAGAGTATGGTACCTAGAACAAAATTAGGAATACTGAACCCAGTGAATAAAAAGTACATTCTTAAACCTCAATCACCAAATTTGAAGGAGGCTGATGATGTGTGGTATCATATTCCCAGTCTTAATAACAGAATGTTGAAAGTGCCTTTTGATGTGTCTCTTGTTGAGTTTGAAAGAATTGTGTGTGCCTTTCTTATGGTGAGTAATTCTGTACCTTTTCTTAAACGGTTATGATATCTTAGAATGAGTTTAGATTAACTTTCCATTATTGTCTTGACAGTAATGTTTTGAGGTATTTGGAGATATTTTTGGATTTAGAGTTAACTAGAAATATTGAGAACATCTTTGATTATGGGCTATTATAGTTAACATTTTAAATGATTGAGACCTTAATGAGTATTCTGATTGCCTTTAACTTTTTTATTTTTAGTTGGTACAGCATTTGTCTCATCTTTATATGTGCCTTCAATACCCGAGCACTGCAGTGAGGCACATGGCTGCTCGTTGTGTAGGTGTCATGAGCAAAATAGCTACCATGGAAACAATGAACATCTTTTTGGAAAAGGTACTTCCATGGCTGGGAGCAATTGATGACAATGTCAAACAAGAGGGTGCAATTGAAGCACTTGCCTGTATCCTTTTTTAATTTTGACAAACCCCTTAGACACTTTATTTAGTTTTCTTAAGGATGACCAAAATAAAATTGACTTATTAAAATATGCATATAAATAACCTACTTTGTTCAAAAAAGAAAATTTTAAAATTTTATTTCATTACAAATATTTTATATTTTATTAAAATTTTCACATGGAAAGTTTAAGAATTACTATTGGCCAGGTGCAGTGGCACATACCCGTAATCCCACCAGCTCAGAAGTCTGAAGCAGGCGGATTGCAAGTTTGAAGCCAGCCCCAGCAACTTAGCAAAGTCCTAAGCAATTCCTCGATACCCTATCTCAAAATAAAATATCAAAAAGGACTGGGGGGCTGGGGATATAGCTCAGTTGGTAGAGTGCTTGCCTATAATGCACAAGGCTCTGGGTTCAATCCCCAGCACCAAAAAAAAAAAGGACTGCGGGTGTGACTCAGTGGTTAAGCGCTCCTGGGTTCAATTCGTGGTACAAAGAAAAAAAAAAGATTCACTATTAATTTTAAAATGATTTTGCTATTTTATGTACTTTTAAACTATGTATCTAATAACTGATTTGTTTATTTGGTTTATAATTAATGTTTTTTCAAGTAGTACCTGTGGTATAAACGTAAAATATTTCCAAACTTTCTTTGTTTCTTAGTTGGAAAATGACCAAAAAAATACTAGATAATTAGAACTAGGTAGGCAAGCCCATTGTAAAGGAGAAGGCAGCTATTTTTTAACTTGAAGTATCGGAAAAATGGTTCTGGAGCAAGAAAGATGGATGAAGATCAGATCAGTAGAAACTGGTTCAAAATGCAGAAGATTATAGGAGCCTGCACTCACAAGGTCCACTGTATCTAGTTGGTGATTGTCAAGATCCTGTAGGGAAATTTAGAATTAATCTCTGACATGCTGCATTGTGTTCTCTTAACTTAAAATGTGGCTAACTTTTTTTTTGACATTCAAATTTCTATTTTTAAAAATCCTTTTACTAAAATGTCCTCCAGTCTTCTTTAGGCAAAAAAACATAATTTTATGTTTTCAATCATGAAAAAAATATATAATGGTTTCAGAAGTACAGTATGAAAATGATATTATAATTGCATCATAGTTCTTGCAGGATAGTCTATCATCTCAGTGCAGATGAGAAAATAAGGAAGTGTTTCAGAACAATATAGTCATTGTTATTGAAAACATCTTTTCAAAATTTCCTTAATCACTTATTCAGGTGTAATGGAACAACTAGATGTTGGTATTGTTCCATATATTGTTCTTTTAGTTGTTCCTGTGTTGGGAAGAATGAGTGATCAGACAGACAGTGTAAGATTCATGGCTACGCAATGTTTTGCAACATTAATTAGACTCATGCCACTTGAGGTAAGTTGACAATACTTGGTTTATGGATTTAATGTTTCTGTAACTTCATAATAATTTTACTCTTCTTTAAAACATGTCAAGTTTTTTCAAAAAGGCATTATTTTGAAAGTGTTACAAGTATTAAGATTTCTAATACTTTGATACTTTTTTAAAAACAGCGTTTTAATTTAAAAAGAAATTAGAGACCGTTTCCTTAAAAAATGATGATTTGTTGCTGCTCTTCTAGAAATAGAATTGTTCCTAAGTTTCTCTGGGCTGAATTTTAGTTGAGAGGTAAATTTGAGAGATAGAAATTAAAACTGTGAAAAGCAAATGAAGTTTCTTAGCAGTATGGAGCAAGAAATTTAAAAGGCTAATTGGAGTACATTCAGGGGACAGAAATAGTGTATGTGGTCTGGCAGTTTCTGGAAAGCAGTCATGGAGAGTCCTTAGAAAGCTAAACTATTGAAAGCAAGTAGCAGTGTCTTAAAGCAGGAAGTAGAAGTGTCTTAAAGCAAGAGATGAGCCTAAATCCCATTACCAAGCTGCTTTTTATTTGATAGGATTTACATAATTCAGGAAATAGGCACATACGTAATCCATACTATAGAATGTATTGGTACTTACTTTTTATAGCTGAATAGAATTCCATGTATGAACATACCATGTTTTGTTTATCCATCAGATGATGGATATTTGGATTGTTACCAGCTTTTGGCTATTGTGAATAATGAGCATGGCACACTTACAAGTCTTCGTATATGTTTGTTCTTATTTCTTTTGAGTAAATATCTAGGAATGAAATTGCTGAGTCACATAGTAAGTTTAACCCTGCTGCCCCTTTGGTACTGGGAATTGAACCCAGAGGTGCTTTACCACTGAGCTACATCCCCAATTTTTTTTTTTTTTTTTTAAATCAGGGTCTTGTTAAATTGCTGAAGCTCGCTTCAAACTTGTGGTCCTTCTACTTCAGCCTCCCAAGTACCTGGGATTACAGGCATGTGCCACAATACCCAGCTTGTTAAACTTTTTTTAAAAAATTAATTAATTATAATTAGGTATGTATGACAGCAGAAGCATTTTGATTCATTGTACACAATTGCAGCACAACTTTACATTTCTATGGTTGTATACGATGTAACAGTCATACATGTACCTAAAGTAATGATGTCCATCTCATTCTACCAACTTGCCCTCATGCCCCCATGCAACCACCATAACCCCCTCCCCTTTGCTGAGTCAAAAGTTCCTCCATTTTTCCCATGCCTCATCCTCCCCATTATGGATCAGCATCCATTTATCAGAGAAAACATTCAACCTTTGTTTTGGGGGATTGGCTTACTTTGCTTAGCATGATATTCTCCATCTCCATCCATTTACCTGCAAATGCTGTAATTTTATTCTCTTTTAATTCTGAGCAATATTCCATTGTGTATATATACCATAGTTTCTTTATCCATTCATCTTTTGAAGGGCATCTAGGTTGCTTCCAATAGTTTAGCTTTCTAAGGACTCTCCATGACTGCTTTCCAAAAACTGCCAGACTACCCCAAAGTGTTACTATACCATTTTATATTCCTACCACGAAAGTATTAATATAAATTGGATAGCTTCTTTGAAAAAATAGTTGGCTTTATTTGATGAAGATATTTATCTCAATGATGTAGCAAATCCATTCTACATAAAAATATATAGAGAGAGAGACTCAACACATGTGCCAAGATACATTTTCCAGAAGACTTATTATAGCATGACTTATAGTAGTTTAAAACCAGAAACTCATATTCATGAACAGTAGATATTTGTGAACTCTTTTTTTTTAAAGAGAGAGAGAATTTTTTAATACTTATTTTTAGTTTTTTCAGTGGACACAACATCTTTATTTTATTTTTATGTGGTGCTGAGGAATGAACCCAGCACCTTGCGCATGCCAGGCAAGCGCGCTATCGCTTGAGCCACATCCCCAGCCCAAGTTGTGAACTCTTAACACTGCAACAAAAACAAACTGCAGACACATAGAATAATATTAGTGAACTATTTTTTTTGAAGTTGTAGATGGACACAATACCCTTATTTAATTTATTTATTTTTATATAATGCTGAGGATCAAACCCAGTGCCTCACACATGCTAGGCAGGTGCTCTAACACTGAGCCCCAGCCCCAGCTCTATTAATGAACTCTTAACATAATATTCCACTTTTATGAAGTTAAAAAACCGGCAAAAGAAATTGGATGCACACTTATATAATAAAGATGTAAAAGAAAGAAATCATGGTAAAATTCAGTCAAGTGATTACTTCTTGGAGAAATGAAATGGAGATTCTAATTGGCAAGGAGCATAGGGGATTTTCTAAGGTGATTTTTCTTGTTTTGATAAAGAGATGTTGGTTTTATAATTTATTAAACTACTAATTTATAAAACTATTTTAAATTGTCGTATTTGTCTGCATGTAGATTTTATTATGATATTAAGAAATAACCAGTGTGGCCAGAAAAAAAAAATGTCTAGACCACTATATAAAAGACCTTAGTGTCATTTTCAGAATTTCTAAGTATGGCAATATATTATTATTGACTATAGTCACCATGCTGTAGAACTTATTCATCCCTTCTGGAACTTTGTACCCTTTAACCAACATCTTCCTATTTCTCCTTTACTTCCCTTCCTACAGAACCCCTAGCAACCACCATTCTGCTCTACTCTATTCATTTGACTTTTTTAGGTTCCACAAAGTGAGATCATGCAGTGTTTGTTTTTATGTGTCTGGCTTGTTTTGCTTAGCATAGTGTTGTTCTGGTTCATACGTGTTGTCATGAATGACAGAATTTCATTCTGTTTTTTAAGGCTGAATAGTGTTCCATCATATATCAGTTTCTTTATCTGTTCACCTGTTGATAAACACATAGGTTAATTCCAAATCATCTCAACTATTGTGAGTAAAATTGTAATGAGTAGTGAAATTTTCCATTCAATGTTCTGATTTCTTTTGATATACTCATAGAAGTGGGGTTGCTAGATGATATGGTAGTTCTGTAACAGCCATTCATTAGGTGTGAGGTGATAGCTCATAGTAGTTTTAATTTGATTTGCCTGGTGATTAATGATGTTGAGCATTTTGGCTGTTTTATACATTTTTTTTTAGAAGTATTTATTTGGGTCCTTTGTCCATTTTTTACAATATATATTTTTAAATCTATATATTTTTAGTAGATGGACACAATACCTTTATTTTATTTATTTTTATATTGTGATGAGATTAAACCCAGTGCCTCATACTTGCTAGGCAAGTGCTCTACCACTGAGTCACAACCCCAGCCCTTTTGTCCATTTTAAGTTATTTTCTTGCTGTTGAATTCCTTGTAGGTTTTGGATATCAACCCCTTATCAGATGGATAGCTCACAAATTTTTCTTTTTCTTAGGTTCACTGTTGATTTCTTCCTTTGCTGTGCTGAAGGTTTTTAGTTTGATGCATTCTCATCAGTCTCCATTTGCTTTTGTTTCTTTGGGGTTTTATCCCCCCCAAAAATCATTGTATGGATCAATGTCAAGCCAATTGCCTGTTTTCTTTGGTAGTTTTGTTTCAGGTCTTATGTCGAAGTCAGCTATGGTTTGAATGTGGTCCCCCCCTGCCCCAAGGGCTCATATATTGGAAGGTTGGCCCTAGTGTGGTGGTGATAAGAGGTAGAGACTATTGGGAGACCCTTAGGTCATTGAGGATGCCAAAGGAATTGAAGTGGTCTCATGGGTCCCTGAGTTAGTTCTCGAGAATAATTATAAGAGTGAGTTCAACCCCTGAATCCTGAATTACTCTCTGGCTTCCCATTTCAAGATGTGATCTTTCCCTCTCACATGGGCTCCCATGATTGTGGTGCCATCTGCCATGAGGCCTTAACCAGAGATGTGCAAATGCTGGTGCCATGCCCTCAAATCTCCAAAACTGTGAGCTAAATAAACCTTTTCTCAGAAGAAAGTTACTCAGCTTCAGGTAACAAAAATCAGACTAATAGAAAGTCTGGTTCATTGTGACCTGATTTTTGTATATGGTATAAAATAAGGGTCCAATTTCATTCTTCTACATTTGTACATCCAATTTTCCTAGCACCATCTATTGAAGAAACTGTTCTTCCCTCTTGTGTTCTTGGACCCATTGTCAAAGATCGGTCTATAATTTGTTTTTATGCTAGTACCATGCTGTTTTAATTACTACAGCTTTGTAGTTCTCTTTTTACTTACTTATTACTTACTTACTATTATGGTGCTAGGGATCAAATTCAGGGGCTTGCACATTCTAAGCTAGTGCTGTACTACTGAGCTATATTCTCAGCCCTCCAGTATATTTTAAATAAGGTAGTATAATCCTTCCAACTTTGTTCTTTTTGTTAAAGATTGCTTTCGCTATTTGGGTTCCATATATTTTAGGATTATTAGTTTAGAATTGTTTTTCTGTTTTTTTTTTTTGGAAAATGCCGTTGAATTTTTGAATAGATATTACATAAATCTTGGTTAAATTTAGGGCTTAAGGTTGTAGCTTAGTGGTAGGGCGCTTGCCTAGCATGTGTAAGGCAGTGGGTTCAATCCTCAACACCACATACATTAATAAAGAAAGAGAGAGAGGAGAGAGAGAGAGAGAGAGAGAGACATATGTCCGTCTACAACTAGAGAAATTTTTGTTGTTTAAATCTTGGTTAAATTTATTCCTAAAATTTGTCACTGGGGACTGAATCCAGGTACATGCTAGGCAAGTACTCTACCACTGAGTTCCATGCCCCCTTTTTAAAAATTTTTATTTTGAGGCAGGGTCTGGCTAAATTGTCCAAGATGACTTTGAACTTATAATTTTCCTGCCTCCTCCTCTCAAGTAGCCTGGATTTCAAATGTGCACCACTATGCCTGGCCTTAATGTTTGTTTTAATGTTATTATAAATGGAATTCTTGGGCTGGGGTTGTGGCTCAGTGGCAGAGCACTTGCCTCATATATGTGAGGCACTGGGTTCAATCGATCCTCAGCACCACATAAAAATAAATATACAAGGACACAGTATCTTTATTTTGTTTAACTAAAAAAAATTTAAAAAATAAAAAAATAATTTCTTGATTTTTTTTTTTTTTCTTTCATTGTTACTTTCAGGACGTCTTTACACTTTGAAAATTGAAGTCTCAGAGAGCTTTAGTTTATGATATTTTCTGTAATAGAAGTTGAAACTGGACAATTTTTAATGTTTTTGTAAATCTCTTTTATGTTTGCCCTATTGGTAGATAGTTGGAGATATGTTATTTTGGTTGAGGTATTTGAAGAAAGTTCAGTGAGTTAGGTAGTTGGAAAAGGGAGCAATCTTTTGATGGTCTTTTCAAGTAATTGTGGATATATTTTGATCTAAAAGCATACCAAAACTCAAAAAGAGATAATTTTTTAAAATATTCTGGGTAGTAAGAATCTAAAGTTCTATCAATGAATATTTCATATCTTCTCACATTAAAATCCATTAGTTTAACTTATATTCTGAATGAATCTTTTACTCATACATGTTTTATAACATATTGGTCATTTGGGAAATACTGGTCTCCCACAAGTTGACATGTTTCATCATACATTTTTAAAAAGATGTTCATTAATATCACCATTGGGAAGTATTGGGAAGCTAATTTCTCTGAAAATCTTGAATTTTATCAGTGCCAACAGGTTATTTCAGTTGTTCTTAGGTTAATTTCTGAGACAATGTCAACCAAATATTCCAGTCATATTAACCATGGCTCATCAATCCTTTCAAGTAAAGTGTTGTTCCATCTAAATAATAATAATAATAATGTATGCTAATATACATTATGTCTCCATGGGCAAAATTTGCTGACATATAAATTACTGTGTATAAATCCAAGGTTAGCAGTCATTAATCTTTAAAGATGTGACAGATTAGCTGATAATTAAATGTTGGATTCATACAAGGTGAATCTATGAACACCACAGAGTATTAAAGACTTTAGATCACTTATTAAAAAAAAAATGAAACACGAAACAAGTGGGTAGTTCAAGACACAATTTAAACAATCTCTCACAAGTGTTTTTCCTCAATATATAATACTCTGAGAAGCAGAAGTACTTTATGTGTATTTCACATTTTATCTCACAGAATGTTAAAAAGATGTATTCAAGCATTGAGGTTTGATGACATTAGTCATTTTTACTGCTTTACCAATGTCATTTTTAAGTGAATGGCATTTTTAAAAATGCTAGTGGATAGCTGTGAGGAATACAGTGACTACTAGTATATCTTGGTACATTCTTAAAACACTATCAATTTCACTCAACAAACTTTATGCAGATGTCAACACAGTAAAAAATGCAAATATTGGCTTTTTTAAAAATGAAATCATATTGGAGACCCTAAATTCTGTTCCTAACACTGAAAAAAAAAAGTCAATTCAAATTATTCTGATAATAAAAAAAAGGTCTTAGGATCCATAGGGGGTCTCTACCACAGGGATCTCTCCAGACCACATTTTGAGATCAAATACCAGAGGGTATCACAACACTAAAATTGAGAAACTCCCAGTTACAACATTTAATTTAAACTACATAACTTTTTATTTACCTTTTTATCAAGTAATTCATGGTGTGAGAAAATTAAGCCATAGCTGTGTTCTTTAAAATACCTCATATGTTTTCTTAGTAGTCTGATTCAGGCAGTTTTAATACCTACAAATTCTTTAGACTTGTTTGTCTTTAAGTCTTTAAAACTATACTGTTTATTTTTTTCTGTGTATTTCTGTTTTGGTAAGACTTATTTGATACTTTTGAGAATGAAAAATTGTGATTAAATAGTTTTAATACATTTTTTAAAAAATTATTTTAGGCAGGCATTCCAGACCCTCCAAACATGTCAGAAGAATTAATCCAGTTGAAAGCAAAAGAGCGACACTTTTTGGAACAATTGTTAGACGGGAAAAAGTTAGAAAATTATAAAATTCCAGTACCAATCAATGCTGAACTAAGAAAATATCAGCAGGTAAGTTTTATACTTATCTTGTAAATAGAAACAGTTATTTTTCCTTTCCAGTGTACCTTGAAGAATTTTTTAAATTGACCTCATAAAATCTTATGTTTAGTGTCACATACCATTTACTTAGCTTTTGCTTATATAAAGATTTTGGGGGACTGGGGTTGTGGCTTAGTGGTAGAGTGCTTGCCTAGCATATGTGAGACACTGGGTTCAATTCTCAGCATCACATACAAATAAATGAATAAAATAAAGGTCCATCAACATTTGAAAAAGTATTTTAAAAAAGATATTTGGTCTGTGCAAACATGTTTTTTGTAAGAAAAAAAATTATCATCTATTCAAATTTATAATTTTTTTCCCCTAACTTTATAGGATGGTGTAAACTGGTTAGCATTTCTTAATAAATATAAACTGCATGGAATTCTGTGTGATGACATGGGTTTAGGAAAAACTTTACAGTCCATCTGCATTCTAGCAGGAGATCATTGTCACAGGTAATTTTAAATTTTAGTTTAAGACTTGTAGATTCTAAGAAATATAAACAAGCTGGTAAGTTTGTTGTTTTTTGCTTTTGTAAAGGGCCCAGGAATATGCAAGGTCAAAATTGGCAGAATGTATGCCACTTCCTTCCTTGGTTGTTTGTCCACCAACATTAACAGGTCATTGGGTGGATGAAGTAGGTAAATTTTGCTCCAGAGAATATCTCAATCCGTTGCACTATACTGGACCTCCCACGGAACGAATAAGGTAAGTTTCCCAACAAAAATATTTTAATCTTTTATGTAGTTTGAAAGAGTAAAACGTATTTTAAAATAAATTCTAGTTAGCTCTTTTAGTGATAAGATGGAAAAATACTCATTAAAGAAAGGTGGGTATACTCTGGGAAGATATCATCATTGAATCTTATCAAAGCCATTGTACAATCAGCTGGTATTAGAGTGGAGAAGTTGTCTGGGAACCAAGTTCATTCTGTATGCTCCTTGAGAAGCCTTGTTACCATAGTACCTTCTTGCTGCTTCTGTTGTATTTTCATTCTTTACCTTCTTCTATAAGAGTTCCCCTTTCCCTTGTTCCTTCCTCTTCCTTCCCTCTCCTCAAATATGCTTTTGATTCACAGTGATTGCTCTAACCACTCCACTGCCGTTACAACATTAGAGTTCTTGTTGCTTTACCCCCTTGCTGTTAACTAGTACACCTCTTTATGCTCCTAGCTACAAATTTTGAAGAATGGAAGTTCATTTATTTCATTTTTTCTTTTAAAGCTTGGCTAGTCAAAGGTTGCTGATTAAACCATTGCTTTGGCTGCTCTTCTGTATTAACAGCTTTTCTGGTTTAGAGATAAAGACTTTAAGGCATAAGGCCTGGGTCCAAGGTCATTCAGTTAATAAGGTGGGTAGAGTGAGGATTTGTACTCAGGCATTTCAGAAACTTGCACTTTTGAGCAATTCACTCTTAGTTAGAATTCATTGGCAAGTGCCTCTTGATTAGAATTCATTGGCAAGTAATATGAATTCAATTCAAACTAGCTTAAGTGAAAAGGTAAATTCATTCACTATCTTGAATTTTAGGGATGGAATCTTTCTTCAGGCACATCTAGATTACTCTCATTTGCTCTTCCTCCCAATTTATTATATGATCTCTAGTGGACTTCAGTCTATGGTGGACAAGGTGACCATGGGCAGAACTAGTTAGCTCTTTTGGTGACATTGTCCCAGTTTGGCACCTATAATAAACAGATCTTCCCCCTTCCATCAGCAATATCAATACTACACATGATTGACTGGCCTTTTTTGGATTATATCTCAAAACCAGCCTCTGTGGCCAGAATTTAAAATATTGTGAATTGCTCAAGCTGGTTCTGATGCATCATCTTTTTATTGATTGAGGGAATATGTGATGATAACCCTCTGTATGCCACCCCCACCCACAGGACAACCTGGAATGATAAAGAAATGGTGCTCCCAGAGAATAGATGTTGGCAAATCAAGTTTAAAATGCCCACCACATTTTGAATCAGTCTTCGTCTCTTTTTTCATCAAATAGAGTAACAGGACCACATCATAAGGAGAGTTAGTCTTTCAAGTAGCAGGTTCATCTGTAGAGAGTAAGTGAAAGGGCTTAATAAGAATACTGAAGCAGGTTGAAGTACTTTATATCATGGTAGCTGTAGTTTCACCATTAAATTTGAACTTAAAACTTTGAAGATTTCCTAATTTTTTTCTTTTTTAAATAAAGGTTACAGCATCAAGTAAAAAGGCATAATCTGATAGTGGCTTCATATGATGTTGTGAGGAATGACATAGATTTTTTTAGGTAAGAATGAATTTTTTTTTTTTTTTTAGAGAAACTTAGTATCAAATTTGAAGAAACTTTGTATTTTCCTGCTTCTGAGATTCTCCTTATAGTTACTTATAGTAAAAGACCTAAAATTTTCTGTTTATTCTCCTTTAGAAATATTAAATTTAACTACTGTATTCTTGATGAAGGCCATGTCATCAAAAATGGAAAAACAAAGTTGTCAAAAGCAGTAAAACAACTGACTGCTAATTATAGAATTATTCTTTCTGGAACCCCAATCCAGGTAATTATTTACTGTTCTTCCTATTTTCTTTTTTAAAAACCATTTGACAAATGGAGAGTAGGCTTGGCAATTGTCAGTGAATTAATAGAAGGACCTGTTTAGTTTAATAATTTTCTAATAATTATGTTGTTTTTATAATGATTCAGTTGGAATATAGCAGTATCTGAACAAACCAGTCTTTAAAAGTCATTTTTAAAATATAATTTTAGGCTATGTAAATACGAGTCTTATGTCCAGAGTATGAAAGAAGTCAGTCAGACTTTACTCCAAACTGATGATTCTCCTTCTGTAGTATAACACTGCAATCTGGTTTAATATTGAAAAACTAGAACCAATTGAATCATCATATAATGAATGTATGAATACCTGATATAAGGAGGCAGTTGAAGGGGAACAACTGTATAAGTTTATCTTGAAAAAGGAAAGGGATGGATATGCAGGTATCTTTGTATACTTTTTGAAAGATTCTGTTGTTGGACTTGGTTGCAAATATATTCACATCTAGCCTGGATAACCAACTCTAGTAGGAAAATCCCCTTGATTATTTTCTAGTCAGTAGGAGAGTGAACACCAAGTGACCCCTGAGATTCCTCTCAACTCTAAAAATTGGTAGTTCTTTATTACTTTGCTTAAATTATTTTTGATGATTATTATAAGGGTAAGTCTTTAGAAATTTATCAATAGTTTTTTTTTTTTTTTTTTTTTAGAGTACAAGTAAAAGGGAAAAGAAGACTCTTTAGGCTTGAATTATCAGAATTTGTTTTGCTTCAATTTAAAGTCATATAAAAATATCACAGTGGGGCTGGTGATGTGGCTCAGTGGTAAAGTGCATGCCTTGGCATGCATGAGGCCCTAGGTTCAAATCCCCAAGCACATAGACTCCAAAAAAAAAAAAAAAAAAAATTCACCGTAGCTTTAAATAGATAATTGCTTTTTTACTTGGTTCAGACATCAAAAGAAGTTGTTGGGGTTTTGTCTAGTTAAAGGCCCTCTTTCTTTTCCCTTCTCCATTTGAACAGTTTTACTCTGCTGTCAGCTGGGTTTCTGCATTGTAGAGCCTGAGTGGGATTAGAAGGGTGAGCATATGGGAGAACAGAATAGCATAGTGACCTGAGAAAGATATGGTGACCCAGAAGCCCTTTCTGGAAGGGGGAATTAAGGGAATGGGCACCATAGGATCCACATATATTGGGAAAAACATCCAAAATGGTAAAGTGCTGATTCCCACCCAACAACCCAGTGATTTGGCAGGAACTTATTAGGCCTTTGCCCCACAACCCATAAATTCTGGGTGGACTTGACCTTAGAATTAAACTCTTATAGGTTTTCTTTGTTGAAGACATGGTATTTGTGGCCAAGTTCCTTAAATCTTGCTGTTAATTTGGGTATCAAAGATAAACTAATAGAATCAGAAACTTTCTGCTCCTCTATTTACTGCTTCATAGATGCTAGCAGTATGGTATAAACACCATGGACCTAGTCTCATTCTGATGGAGGAGACTAGATTTCCCTCAAATAGGATGGAATATTTTCTCCAAGGATACTATTCTGAAAATAGACCTACACCATACACCTAAGAATGTGGTGATTATCTCCCATTTGTGTCGTCATAATGGGCTTCCAATAACGTTCGTTCTATTTCTTAAGTATAAGGAAATGATCCCAGTACAAAAAATAATTGGTATTCCTTTTTTATATTAAGAACAATGTTTTGGAGCTGTGGTCGTTGTTCGATTTCCTCATGCCAGGATTTTTGGGTACTGAACGCCAATTTGCTGCTCGATACGGGAAACCTATATTAGCAAGTAGAGATGCTCGAAGTTCCAGTCGAGAACAAGAAGCAGGTATGAAAGAAATCTAATTATAGAGCCTATGTTAGTGAATGTAGTTCATTCCCAACTTTTAAAAACTCATTTTCTTATTATTAACAGGTGTTCTTGCGATGGATGCACTGCACCGCCAAGTCCTGCCGTTTCTTTTGAGAAGAATGAAAGAAGATGTTTTGCAGGATCTTCCACCTAAAATTATTCAAGATTATTATTGTACTCTTAGTCCTCTCCAGGTTAGGAATCTGGTGATTGTAGTTGTTAGTGCTATCTTTATTAGCAGAATGTCTTATATAAACTATAAAATAGTTTATACAATATAGCTTTGACTTTCCTAGCTTTTAGGAATATTTTGTGTCAAACAGATATAAATAAGGCCTAACTGAATCTGTTTAATTATGTGAATATGGGTTTAGATATGTGCACTTAGAATTCAGCATTAGATCAAAATCCAGTATCATAGTTGCATTCTTAAATGTCTAGTTAATTGGAAAGATTGCAAAGTTAAATTGATGAAGAAATACAGTAGTCCCTTCTTATCCATGGAGGATACATTCATTCTAAGATCACCTATGGATACCTGAAACCTCAAATAGTACTGAAACCTATGTATACCATGTTTTATTCTTATTATAGATCTAAGCAACCTCAGCATGATTTCTTTTTCTTTCTTCATAAGAGCTTTCACCTTTTTCATTCAAAGATATGGCTTCTTTTTGGCATTTTCAATTTGCCAGCATTGCTCTTCTAGTGCTCTGGGGCCATTATTAAGTTAAATAAGTTTTATTGGAACACAGACTCTGTGATGCCATGGCATTTGATCTGATAATGGAGACATAACTAAGTGAGTCATGGGCAGGTAGTGTTTATGCTCAACAACAGGGTAATTCACATTCCTACCAGGACACATTGGGATGGTACAAGGTTTCATCACACTACTTAGAATAGCACATGTTTTAAAACATATGAATTGTTTATTTCTGGAATTTTCCCATTTAATATTTTCAGACATGGATAATTGAAAAAACAGCAAAACCATGGGTTTTGGGTGGCTACTATAAACCAATGTTTATTAGGGTCAAAAAAATCTGGTTATGAATATGGTATGTCATCCTCCGAATAGCATTATGGTTATTGTTAATTCCCATTTTGCAAGCAAGGAAAGCAAATTACCTGTAATCATAGAGCCAAAGTACATCAGGGCTGAGTTTCAAACTTTGATCAGTGGAACTTCATCCTCTTTGAAGTGTTAAACATTTCCCATAAATTGGCCAAATTAAATTTGTTTTCTGCATGGTTCTGATTTTTTTCAGAAGACTTTATTATGAACCTTTTCTTATACTTTTTTAAGGATGTAAATGGGAACTGTTACTTGACTTAGTAAAATATAGCTTCTAAGTCAGAATTTTTTGTTTGATGTATACTTGAGTATTTGATATACATTCAATCTGATCAGTATTAGGAGTTGATTTAGTATTGTCAAATGAATGGAAGCTACATGCACACATCAGAAATTTACTCCCTACCCTTACCCCCCAATGTATTAGCTAGTATTGATAAATTTGACTTGGATTTAGTGGGCAAGGTACTAGTCTGAAAGCTAATAGATCTCTGATTCTTTTGTACCTCATCTCTCTGGTCTTCCATTCCTTCATTTCCAAAACTTGGGCTAATTATAGTTGTGCAGTTTTTAAAAAGATGCCCTTTCAAAGAAATCTCTCTTATGATATACTGGTGGTGATGCTATAACATAGGTATATAACACATTTGGAAGAAGAGAGCTCCAGAGGGAAGTGACATTTTGATTTTGTTTAGCATTCACAGGTTTTCATTCTCTGATTTCTGTTCTTTAGCCCTCTAGATTTTATTCCCCTTTATATTATTTTAGTATGTACAATGCAGGATCCCAGACCCCAAAGGTAATGCTTTAAACTTGATAGGAGTTCCCTTTCTAGGCTAGTGGTAACATTCTTTTAGATTTTTGTCTCTTGAAATCATTTATAGGGTCTCACTCACATAACTTCATTTAAGGCAGACTTTTTCCATTTGGTTGGAAGGGTTCAGGTTCTCTTTTATTAGTGTTTATTTTTCTGAACAGTAGGAAAACTGAAATAGGACTATTTGACTAGTATTTTTAATACTTTTGCAACCAAACTTCATGTGCTATACTTATTTTTTCCAAATGTAAATTTAAAAGAATTTACCAAGATGCAGTAGATAATCTATAATATCAGTAGTGAATTGTAGATAATAATTTTTTTTTTTTTTTAACTTAATGATGCCTGATTATATACTTCACTGTTTTCATGGGGGCAATTTTACAGGTTCAGCTCTATGAAGATTTCGCCAAGTCTCGTGCCAAGTGTGATGTTGATGAAACAGTTTCTTCAGCTGCACTTTCTGAAGAAACTGAAAAACCAAAGCTTAAAGCTACAGGCCATGTATTCCAGGTATAGATTATAGTCTACTTTTTTTTTTTTTTTTTAATGTTAAAGAATGTTTTCTAATGGTGCAATTTTTATATGGAACACTGAAATATGAGTTGATTTCAATCTTTTTCAGTATTGCATATGAATCAAAATAGGTCAAAGTACCTGTTTAACATTAATTAGAAAATATTAAATATACAAAATGCAGTATATGTTTGTATATTGCATACAAAGAAGGGTTTTAGACTCAAGAATCTTTTCCACCAGGTTCCATGGCACAAGCCTGTAATCCCAGCAGCTGGGAAGGCTAAGGCAGGAGGATCATGACTTTAAAGCCAGTATCAGCAGATTAGCGAAGTGCTAAACAACTTAGAGCCTGTCTCTAAATAATGTACAAAAAAGGGCTGGGGATGTAGCTCGGTGGTTAAGTTCCCCTGAGTTTATTCCCCGGTACCAAAAAGAAAAAAATCTTTCCCATTCTAAAACTACTACATGGCAGTAACTTTTCTATGCTCTAGAATTAAGTAAAGCAATAGACAGTGGGCTGGAAGTGTACATCAGTGGTAAAGTGCTTGCCTAGCACTTAGTATGTATGAGCACCTGGATTTGATTCCTAGCCACTTGGGGGAAAAAAAAACAGTGAAGAAAATAGACTCTCCCTTGTAGAGATGGCAAAATACATATTATTTAAGAGAAAATTTAAAAATAAGGCAGAGAGTGGAATTATAGACAGGAGTTTAGGGTAGGTTGTGGTTTTTAATTAGAGGGGTTAGGGACTTCCTCACTGAGAAAGTGACATTCAGGGAAAATTAAAGCATGCAGATAGGTCGAGGGGAGGTGATTCTAGGCAGAAGATACAGAAGTCCTGAGACAGAACATGTCTTGTGTGCTTGACAGGTTAGTAAATGAAAAGAAAGTGGCAAGTGTCAACTTTTTCTTTTCCTCTTGAAATATTCCACCATAGAAAATTAATTGTGGTAGCATTTTTTTTTTTTAATTTTTAGATGTTGATGGACCTTTATTTTGTTCATTTATTTGTATATGGTGCTGAGAATCGAACCCAGTGCCTCACATGCTAGGCAAGCTCTCTGCTACTGAGACACAACCCCAGCCCCTGTGGTACCATTTTTTTTTTTTAAACAGAGGAGAGGGAAGAGGTGGTTGTGAAGACTTAAAATGCCTCTTCCACACAATTTTTATCATAGTGCTCAGTGATGTTGAGCCTTGTCAGTAGAGCTTACTAATACAAAACTGTGTGCCAAAGGTGAGACTGAAATCATAAACCAAGTGAAAGGCAGAAGAAAAAGAATGTGGTTGAATTAGAAAAGAAACCCTATGGTATTAGTTTCTCAGTCACCTGCCTTCACCTCCCTCCCCCCCCCCCCCCCCACACACACACACACACATCTACTGAATTAGAATGCTACCTAGTTAGTCTAGGGAGAGGCTGCAGATTTGTAAGATCCTCAAGAAAATTTATACCCACAAAAGTTTGAGAAATCCTTCTTTAGGAAATGAATATTGGTTCTAGAAACATCTGTATACATTATCAGGCACTTTGAGTGGGAAAGGGTTTTAAAAGAGCTGATGAATAAGACATTCTCTTTGCCATAAGAAGCTCATTGTTTAGTTGGGGAGGCAGATATAAACAATACAGTGTTTTCAAGTTACAAATTACATTCTGTGTGAGGACCACAAATGAGACATTTGAACTGATTCTTGAATAATGAGTAGGAGTTTTCTAAGAAAAAAGGTAATATAGACAAGACGGTATAACTTAAGATACAGAAATAAACTTTTGTGGTATGTGAAATGGACTATGTATATTTTTTCCCTCTTTAAAGGCATTACAATACTTACGTAAACTGTGCAACCATCCAGCTTTAGTTTTAACATCCCAACATCCAGAGTTCAAGAGCACTACTGAAAAACTGGCAATTCAGAATTCTTCTCTTCATGATATTCAACATGCGCCTAAACTTTCAGCTTTGAAACAAGTATGTATGTCTTTTAATGGTAAAATATATTCCTGATATTTAATGCTAGGTATAAATTTGCTTTTCCAAAATACATAAATAAATGCATAGATGTACATTTAGCCCTTTTAAAAAATTGTATGCTTTTAGTGTGCAGTTCTGTGGCATTAATTACATTCAAAGGTGGTGGTGATGATTGTATGACACTATTTCCAAAAACTTTCCATCACCCAAAAACTCTGCCCATCGTTTTCCCTTTTTCTAGCACCATGCAATCTTCAAACCATTTTGTCCCATCATCCCAGATGTGGGAAACCTATCAGAATTTTAAATTGAGGGCCAAGGATGTAACTCAGTGGTAGAGTGCTTAACTAGCATGCATGAGGCCCTGGGTTGATCCCCAGAACTTGAGGGGAAGGGCGAGGGGAGCAACAAATATATCACTTATAGTCACTTTGAAATGTTTTTAGAATTCTTATCTTTTGAGAAAAGTAATTGGTATATGATTAGAACATTTGAAAATATTTTTTTCATATATATATAAGGTTATAAAGCTCTAAATTATGATTTCCAACTTATTTTAATGCACCTGTGTCAATTTAATTGAAATATTTACAGAATTGACACTTCGATTATTTCTGCCTTTTGGCTATTATGAAAAATATTATAGTGAACATTGCCTTATAACTATCTTGTATGCACTGCAAGTAACAGTATTCACTGAATGACTTAGGGTATAGGAAATAAAAAGATCTGTGGCAGTATGTTTCCTGCTGTTAAAGGGGGACTCTTATCAGGAATCCAGGTGATCTAGCTAGATGCTTTTGGTTCTCTCCAATGTAGTTGCTTCATTGTGTATTCTTCACACTTTTTTCTTTCGTGATCTTTTATGAATCATTTTGCCTGGGTCATCTGCTTTGTCATTACTTCCAGTAAACACTTATTGAGGCTCCAATGAGCCTCAAAGAACTAAGGAGAAGGCCCTGTTAGATGTGACCTCCTGAAGAGGTGACCAAGGAACTCTGAAGTCTGAGCACTTAAAAAGTAGTTCCCAAGGCTAAAGGGTGACAGATTATAGCCCAGAGAACTAATCTCTTTCCAGATTACAGGTTCATTTACCCTTTGCTTGCCATAGAGAAAAGTACTTGTGACAGTGAGAATTATTATCTACTTTAATTGAATACCTAATAATTTCTTTTTCCAAGTTGCTGTTGGACTGTGGTTTGGGAAATAGCAGTACTTCAGAGAGTGGCACAGAGTCTGTTGTGGCCCAGCACAGGATACTGATCTTCTGTCAGCTTAAAAGTATGCTTGATATAGTAGAACATGATCTGCTGAAACCTCACCTGCCCTCTGTCACTTATTTGAGATTAGATGGCAGCATACCTCCTGGTCAGAGGCATTCCATCGTTTCCCGGTAAGTGGCTCCCAAAACTCTGTTATTATAAATCACGGTATAGTAAATGCATTATTACATATTTAGAAGTTTGCCTTGTAAGGTATTTTCATTGGCTAAATGTCTGTGAATGTTTTTCCAGTTATATAATTGAACACAAATAAATCCTTTTTAAATACAAAAATATAGAAATACAGCAGTTCAATAAATGAAAAAGTATATTAATAAAGCACTCTGAAAAGCATGTAAGAAATTTAAGAAAACTACTTTCTCCTTTACATTTTTGGGAATTTAGGTGGGAGGAAGCAAAAAAGTGACTTAGCTAAATTATCTGTTCTGATTCCTCTTGAAAGTTGGCCTATCCAGGAAGCAGAATTGGTGTGGTCTGCTTCAAACATCTCAGTGATTGCCTTTTTTAAAATGCAGATTCCTAGGTTCTGTCCCAAGCCTGCTGACTTTGGGCATTTTTAACAAGTCTAAAAGATTGTTAGGCACAATACAGTTAGAGATCCACGAGGGAGTTTTGGAGGCAGACAGACCCAGGTTTGACTCCTGATTATACTATTTAGTGTTCCCAGTCCCTCTAAAATAGGAATAATGGCAATACCCTTATAGATCTATATTGTATTAATAATGTTAATAAAGTTGAAAGCTCATTGCTTGCTCATAATAAGAATGTAATGGTGGCTTGGTAATTGTTATTTTTAAATTTAGTGATATTAGATTCCTGGAAACTACTAGATGTCCTTTATCAATATCTTCTAGAACTAGTAAAATAGTAACAACCTCCCAAAGTCTTATCTTCTACCCTCCCTGAATGATATAATCTATTCCCCACACTTCTGTTCCAGGTTTTATCTTAATTATATTTAGTGTTGTATTTTTACAACTTAGTCTTTATCTTTTATAAAATATAATTTAGTTGGCCTTATTATATCTGTTTATGAAATTTCTGACAGTATAGAATGGACTAAAGATGTTATGTATATTAAAAGAGGATATTTTCAGGGCTGGAGTTGTAGCTCAGTAGCAGAGTGCTTGCCTTGCAAATGTGAGGCATTGGGTTCGAGCCTCAGCATCACCCAAAAATATTGTGTCCATCTATAACTAAACAATTTTAAAAAGAGGATATTTTCATCTCAGGTCATAGAAATATCCATGTGTTTTTAAAGCATTGTTTTCATTTGTGCTCTTTAATTCTTATTAAACCGTTTCTGTGATAAGAGCCTTAGTAAGAAAGGTACTAATTTTATTTTTTGATATCTGTACTTTTAGGTTTAACAATGATCCATCCATAGATGTTCTCTTACTTACGACTCATGTTGGTGGCCTGGGGCTTAACTTGACGGGCGCTGACACAGTGGTATTTGTGGAGCATGACTGGAATCCCATGCGAGATCTACAAGCTATGGACCGGGCCCATCGCATTGGGCAGGTAAAAGTTAGCTTTCACATAAACATGTGTTACCTGGTACCCTGAGGAAAATACCCCACCACTACCACCCCTGCCACCTCCCCACCAAAAAAAAAAAAAAAAAAGGGAAAGACTTGATTCAGGTTCAGGCTCTTACTCTGATGTTAACAAGTTGTAGTCTTTGATAGTCGCTAAACTTGTCTGTAGTATCATTTCCTTATGTATTAAATGAGGTGCTTGGGGCTAAGAAAACCTGGGTCACTGTCCCTCCCTAATATTCTATGGTTTTTGCATACATTGAACTCATGCAGCCAGACCAAAAAAATCCAGTTTTAATTAGCATAATAGAAAGTACTTAGTACATGTACATATATGAATGTGTAGCAATAAACCCCATCATTATGGACAACTATAATGCCCCAATAAAACAATAATGGGAAGAAAAAAACAGAAGTGCTTAAGATTAGTCCCCTGACTTGGTAAACCGTAGAATTTATCAACGTGTGCTACAGTTGCTTAATTGTTTTTCTCATTCAGAAACGTGTGGTTAATGTTTACCGATTAATAACCAGAGGAACATTGGAAGAGAAAATAATGGGTTTGCAGAAATTCAAGATGAACATAGCTAATACCGTTATTAGCCAAGAGAATTCTAGTTTGCAGAGTATGGGAACTGATCAACTTCTTGATCTTTTTACTCTTGATAAGGTAGGAAACTTACACAATTTGTTTTGTGTTTAATGTATTCACAGGCTTCCTGGTTGTGAGGATAAAGATATAGATCTATCTATATCTATATCTATATATGCAGTTAGGATACCTAAAGTAGATTCTCAATAAATAGTAGTCATTATTTTTATAGTAGATGATAGAATCAATACATCAGATAATAGTCCACAATCAAAAAGGTGCACCAGCTGGAAATACTAGTCTCAGGATACAAAACTGATAGTATTGAATTTAAAAACCTTCAGAGCCGGGCATAGTAGTGCATGCTTGTAATCCCAGTGGCTCGGGAGGCTGAGATAGGAGGATCTAAAAAAGCCAGCCTCAGCAACAGCGAGGCGCTAAGCAACTCAGTGAGACCTTGCTCTAAATACAAAATAGGGCTGGAGATGTGGCTCGGTGGTCAAGTGCCCCTGAGTACAATCCCCAGTATCAATAAACAAAAACAAAAAAACCTTCACAGGTTCAGAAAATCAGCTGCATACTCAATATAATTTGTGGTTAGAAATGATCTTTTATAAAGATGAAATTAAACTATAATAGCAGAATTATAGCATCCAAGCCTGAGAATATTCTGTATGTTAAACCACATGTGCAGTAGTGTCTCATTCTGGGTGCTACATTTTAGTGGTAACAAATTAGTCCCTGATGGTCATAATGGAGGAAAGCTCTTGAGTCATATCCTAGGAGTAAAGTTGAAAGAATGAGGGATATTTAACCTCAAGATACATGTATACCTATCTTCAAATAGTTCTTACTCTGTTTAAAAAAATTATTCACAAAGTGGAACTAGCCTCGGATATTCCAGGGAAATGAGCTATTGCCATAAAGGTCACTTTGGAGACAATTGGAAGAATTTACAAATGGACTATATATTAGAACATTTAATCTAGCACTGTTAAAACTCCTTCATCTAATTTTGTTATATTGGAGAATATCCTTGTTTCAGGAATATATGTGGATTCCTATCTAAAGATAAAGGGCAAGGAAAAAACTGGTGTTTAACTATGGATCTGACTAATACAGATAAGGGGCTGGGATCGGGAGGATGACAAAATAAACAAAATTACTATAAAATTCTTGATAATGCTGTTTCAAAATTTCTTCCTAAGTACAAACTAAAAAATGATAAAATTACTAGACCTGTGGGAAAATTGGATGGGCTATCTTTTGAAGTCATGTCTGAATAATGTTTCATTTTATGTTTCTGCCAATTTTTCTTAAGGATGGCAAAGCAGAAAAGGCTGATACCTCAACTTCTGGAAAAGCAAGTATGAAATCAATTCTTGAAAACCTGAGTGATCTTTGGGATCAAGAGCAGTATGATTCAGAATACAGCCTTGAAAATTTTATGCATTCTCTTAAATAACTATCAAATATTGTAAATGCAATTGCTGCTAGTTCAGTTACATTTCTGCTGATATTCAGCAAAATTTCTAAGTTTATGGTGAACTTTTAACTCAACGTGTAAATAAATCTGAAGAATATCCAGCATAATGCTGGCTCTTGTTTCACTGGGGGGAACAAGTTATTCTCAAAATATTTGCACTGTATTAAATTTAAATGTTAATGTGAAACCATTTAAATTTTACATGCTGAATAGCTGCAGAGCAGAGGAACCAAACCAGGTTTACATGTGCTACTGGGAGGTGTTCTTACAAGGCACAAGCCTCCTCTTTCTACACAGTTGCTTTGTACAGGATGATATCCATGAGTACTTTCGTGTTCATGTACATTTTCCCTTTTACATAGAACTTGTTTTTATAACTGATTAAAGAATAGGGCTTTTTTGTACAAAAGCCTCAGTGAGCCATAATTATAAGAATATAAAAATAACGACTATAATATTAGTCAATCTTGGAACATGAAAATGTTAGACAATGAATTGAACCAGGCCCTTGGTGAAAACCTTTATATATTTAATGTGGATGCATAGTGTTTTTCAAGTCTTTAACATCATTTTGTCAACTTTTAAAATATAATAACTATTCTAAATACAGGTACTGGTATATTTAAGGCTACCATAACATCCTATTAAGAGGGTGTGTTTTGTTTTTTTAATTTATCTAATGGCTAGGGTATAGCCAGATTCAAAGAACATATGTACTCAATAGGTTTCAATCATATATATTATATATATATATATATATATATATATATAATATATATTTTGTAACTATGAACATATACAGTTTTCCAAAAGTAGATTTTACACTGTTTAAAATTCCAAAACCTATGGTGAAAAGACTGTTTATTATAGTAATGCATGACAGAAGCAGCAAAGGGAGAGATACTTTCTTTATATACACAAACATACTCATATCTATATGCATAAATGTATCTATTCTGCACCCAAAAGGTGCATGGTTTTGGCACTAAAATCATGTAGTTATACTGGGCAGCAATAATTGGGCATGAAGCCGATTGTGTTATAAGAGTGAGCTCAATGGTGAGGGTGGGTATATGTATATAGATATGCATGTATGTATATAATTATTTTATAAATTCCACACATAAATTAATACATGCCTCTGTGTATACACATGTATGGGATATATTTGTGTGTGTGTATTTATATATATATATATATATATATATATATATACAGGTAATAAACATCCCCAAGGTTTGTGGCTGGCCATACATATAGGCATCAGTTTAAAAACCATCAGACCTCAGCTGTACAATAACAAGTGTTTTGTTTAAAATTATTAAAAGTTATACTGTTCTGCAGCACTTAGACATGGACATCTGTCACATTTCAGTAGTTTTGGCAACCATACTGTAACATTAAACCTAGCATTCCAGAAGAGAATAAATATAAGATTGAAATTGTAAAATATATGCAATTGTGTGTTATTTGTAGGAAATGATCATAAAAATAATTCAGATCCACAGATTTATTTTATTTGTGGGGGGGATACTGGGGATTGAATTCAGGGGCACTCAACCACTGAGCCACACCCCCAGCCCTATTTAATATTTTATTTAGAGACAGGGTCTCACTGAGTTGCTGAGCACTTCACCATTGCTGAGGCTGGCCTTGAAATCGTGCCTCCTGTATTAGCCTCCTAAGCTTCTGGGATTACAGGCGTGCACCACCACACTAGGCAGTCAAGATCCACAGATTTTTTTGAAAAGCTCGACACTATCTTCATTATTTGGGGATTCATATTCAAAATTAGAAGACCAAAAAGAAACTTGTGACTGTATGTCAAATATCCTGTGTACTTGAGTTAAAACTTTGTTAATGATTTATTAGCTATTTCCATAAACCAGCTATTTAACATAGAAAATATCAATTGCTATGATCTAAGAATATATGCAAGGAGCAATATCATTAAAGAGATAGTATAAGGGACATAAGAATTCAAACAGAGTTAGTTTCCCCTGATTTAAAAGGTCAGATAGAACTAGAAGTCAGATATTTAGGTAGTTTAAAATTTTAAAGGTTTTTTTAAAATCTGAAAATATGTATGTGTAATTAGTAAAATGTTTCTAGAAGGATAGACAAGAAAATGACAATAGTCACTATCTCTTGAGTGGGAAATAGCATAACCTTTTTTTTTCTCCCCTCTTTTTGGTACTGGGTATTGAACCCAGGGGTGCTCTACCACTTATCTACATTCCCAGACCCTTTTTATTTTGAGACAGGGTGTCACTAAGTTGCTAAGGCTAGCCTCAAACTGCTAATCTTCCTGCCTCCCAAGTGGCTGGGAGTATAAGTGTGCACCACTGTGCCAGGCCTAGTATAACTTTTAACATTTTAAAAATCTTTTGAGTTGTGAAATATTGCATTACACATTTTATTTTTAAAACTAAAACTACTTTGTAAGAACTAAATATTTTTAAATGTCCCAGTCACGGTAGTACATCTTAAGAATAATGGAGGCTAGAGGTGGAGGTAGCTCAGTGACAGCACTTGGCAAGCAAGGAGGAAGCCCTGGGTTTGGTCCCTAGCAGTAGGGGGTAGGGCAGGGCTGGGATAACAACAGAGATTCCAGGAAGTTTGAATTGAGTAATGAATGATATTTGCTGTCACTTTTGTGGCTGTGATGAGATAGTTATGACTTTTAAATTGTGTGGATGTGGGAAATAAAGCAAGTTTGATGGAATGTTGGTGCTATTTTAAGTTAGGTAATGGGTTCATAGATATTCATTATACTGTTTCCACTTTTTTTTTTGTATGTTATAGAAAACTTCAAACAGTTAAAATAATTATAAATTCAGAGGTTCTTATCACTAATGTTTCCTGTAGGAAAATCTTAAAAATTTGGATTTGGGATAAAATTTGTTTCTCATGTATATTTACACATTCATACAGTACATACACTTTTTATACAAACATTTCTCAAAGAAATCTTAGTCTTTCAACAGAGCTTATCATAATGGTAACAAAGATGAAACTCTTTGATGTTGGGGCTGAACTGCTGTAGCCTTAATCCTTCTGGATGGCTTAAATAAGCTTATCCAAAAATAAATAATCCGGGGAATTTTCCAGGGAAGCTATTTGAGAATATAACCATTTAAAAGACAGAAGTAGAACTACAGAACACAGAAGTTACAGAAAAGTAACAAGCATTCCATCATACATCTGTTCCAAATATTTATTCTGAATACAGTCTTCTACCTTCTATGGACCTCCTCAGTTTCCCAGAATATATGCAGGTTAGTGGAATCTTAAGTGAATCATGTTATCAAATAACACAGAACTTGGGCTGGGAGGTAGTTCAGTTGGCAGAGTGCTGTCCTCACATGCACAAAGTTCTGGGTTCAATCTTCAGCACCACGTATTAAATAAATGTGTTTAAAATGATTTAAAAAAAATAACACAGAACTCAATGTAAATCAGAATAAAAACTTTAGTTATGTCTATTAATAGAAAATGTTTGCTGTTCACACAAAGCAGTGTCAACAATCATCTCTAACAAGATAAAAATTACCTCCTGTTTCCAGAAAGGGTTTCTGTAAATCTCCGGTAATTTACATTCAAACCAAATTCTGTTGAATACAAGGGAAATAGGATCTCAGTCCCCACAGAGATGAGATTTAATCTCTATAAAAGCCACAAAGAGATCTTGTATTCAAATGGTACTAGAACAACTATCCTGAAACAGAGTCATCTGTGAAAAATTAGAATCCCAGGCCTACAAAACAGTTAGGTTTAATGTCTGGATTTATACTAAATGTATACTATAGGAACCACAGCTCAAAAAAAATAAAGGCAATTCTCGCATCAGAAAAAAAAAATTATTTAATACTGGGGATTGAACCCAGGGCACCTCTGTCACTGAGTTACATCCTAGTCCCTTTCATTTTTCTTTCTTTTTGGGAGGAGGGGAACTCAGGTACTCAACCACTGAGCCACACCCCCAGCCCTATTTTGTATTTTATTTAGAGTCAGGGTCTTACTGAGTTGCTTAGCACCTCACCATTGCTGAGGCAGACTTTGAACTTGTGATCCTCCAGAGCCACTGGGATTACAGGCATGTGCCACCGTGCCTGGCTCTTATTTTATAATTTTGAGACAGGATCTTGCTAAGTAGCTGAGGCCAGCTTTGATACTGCCTCAGTCTCCCAAGTCACTGATTACAAATGTGTACTTCCCCATCAGGCAAGTAGCAAAGATAAAACTTCCCTGTAGGGACAATTTCAGATAGGGTCCTATAGAATTTCCACAGCAGGAAAAGATACTCAGGTAAATTTAAACTTGTATACACATCATCTACTGGAGGAAGAGTTAGGAGATGCAAATAGAATAATTTGAAAGACCATAAAATGATTAAACATTACAAAAGATTGGTAGATTTGAAAAGGAACCTGCATATAAGAAATAGGTATGTAAATTAACACAGATAAAGAGAGTTTGTGAACTGGAATACTGATTTTAAAAAGTTACTTACAGTGTGATGCAGTGATGAACTGGTAGAAAATATGGAAGAGCAGGCAGGCAGAAATCATGGAAGATAGAAAAAGAAAATCCAATACACAATAATCCAATATTGGGAAATGAAGATATGGAAGAAGACATTTCGAGAAAGGATCTCAGTAAGTTTGAGGCTGACCTTGAACTTGTGATCCTCCTACCTCAGCCTCCCTATTTCCCAGAAGGGTATGTGCCTCTGTGCTTAGCAAGCTCAAGTTTTAACCTGATGACACTAACACCTGATGAAGCTGCAGGGTAACTGGAACTTTCATATTGCTGTTTGGAATACAGAACAATGTGTCCATCAGCTGACAAATGTTCAAACAGAACACGGAATGACCATAGAAAGGAATGAAGGATAAAAAAGAACTGAAGTACTGACATGCTATAATGTGGATGAATCTTAAAAACGTTTTGCTAAGTGAGAGAAGTCATAGAAGATAACAAATACTATATTATTTCATTCATAAAAAAATGTTCACAATAAAACTGGGTTCAGGGACACACACCTGTAATTCCAGTGAGTTGGGAGACCAAGACAGGAGGCCCCTATCTTAGCTTTTCTGCTGCT